GAGTACCAGAATACAATCTTCTTCTGAATGCCCTGTGCAAGGCTGTATGTATTCTAAACCAGCTCTAGATGATGCACAAAATCAAACCTAAATTCTGTAGCCAATATATACTGCAGAACTTCATTGCCTTTGCACATGTCAACCACACTTCAAAGAACGGTATTTTAGAAGGATTTGGGATTTTTCTTTCTGTAAAAGACTGGAGAAGCAGTAGGCACAAAGGGAAAGAGGCAGGGGATGGCAAAGCATGATTAGTTATATATCTGGGCCTCCAGGTGTTGTCGAACTACCACCAGCCTCAGCCAGGATAGCCAAGAGTCAGGGATGATGGGAGTTGCTGTCCATTGACATCTGGAGGGCTGCAGGTTCCCCAGCTCCTGGCTTATACTACCTGTAAGGAATACAGGTAAGGCTGCCACCTGATTAAAGAAATATTCAGTCAACTGTAAATTTTATTAGTGAAGTAATGATCACATTTACGTGTGACTAAAGCAGTAGGCCCAAAGCAAAACGCATACATTTGCTTTTAGAAGATGCCTGCAAGGTATGTGATTTGTAAGAGAGGCATTCCCTCCTGTGCGACAGTGAATGGGGAAAGCTTCTTCTAAGGCGGTGCTTGCCATCTGCAGTTTGGGAGATTATTTGTAAATTACAGTAAAATAAAGTAAATTTGCCACCTGATTAACTGCAGGCACTTGTTGATGAAAATATTTTAAAGCAAAAAAGGAAAAGATGTGTTATGTTGGCCCATAAGAAAACAAACAAACAAACAAACAAACTCCACAGTATGGCAATGCCTTTATTGGGCCAACTAAAATATCACAGTAAGGAAGCTCTCCAGAACTCTTCATTGGGTAGGAGCGGGGGAAGAGGAAATCTGGCTTGCTGTTAAAGCTATAAAGTCTGCATTGTTGCGGACCCTGGGAAGAGGTAGCAAACTTCATAGATAAGGCTCTCCAAGGTGCCATGCAGGTTGCAAGTTACACCCAGGGATGCTGGGATGAAGAAACACAGTCAGATTCGCCATTTTTTTTTTCTTTTGGAAAATATGCATTCCAGCTGTTCTCTATATCTGTCGATCAGTTAAGCTAACAGGTTCATATTATAGACCAGGGAATAAGCATCACCTAAGAGACAGCCAAATAAGGCACTGAAGCTCCACTCTCTGGCCATATTAAATTCACAACAACCGTTGCCCCCCACAATCCAGTGGACTATTTGGTTTTCAACAAGAGAGAAGGGTGGGGAGAGAAAAAGGCGAGGTCCTCAGCACACCTGGCTCTGACCCCAGTATCAGAGAGGATGCTTCCACTGCAAACCCACACTTGCACAGAATACACACAGCCCTTGCTTTATTATCCAACTGATAATGTCATAGAAAAGAACGTTAACAGCTGCTGGAAGATTGCACACTAAACAGAAGGCTCACATTTCTTGCAGTAAATGCTACCTGTGTTAAGGCAATCATTCCTCTCTCTTTCTTTTCATAAACAAATGCTACTTTTCAAAAGCCCAAGGATTTATTCAAAAGGGCAAGCACTGATACACATAGTCAGTTTTGCACAGGAAAGAATACGGTTGTTTCAGGACAAAGCTAAGCAGCTACATATTTGAATATTCCCTCCAGTGCAGGACACTACAGAACAATGGAGGCCAGATTTTGTCTTGGCTTGTGGCTCCCCCTGGCTACAATTTCATATCCTGGAGGAATTTCATATCCTGGAGGAATTTAACATTTGGTTAGGATTCTTGGCTACGTTTGTCCGAAGCATAGCAATATAAGGCAAGTATAAAATTACCAACTTGTCCAGTTCAATGGATGAATTGTGGAATGTACTGGTTAAAATGCAATATTTCATGATAAAAGACGGGAGAGGAAGGGGAGGGGAAATCCACCCAACTACCCTAAAGTGTGTAGCAAAATTTCTAGCTGCACAAATGCAACTTCATCCTGGCATTTCAATCTGCAAATAGCTGAAACCTGATGTTAGGCTTCTCTTTTTGGTTATTTGCAAAAAAATTTCTCTATGCATGAGCTATAGAGTAGGGCATGGCTACATGCAAATCTCTTATCTGTATGTGAGAGAGAATCAGGGTAAACTAACTTGCCAAATAAGCACCAGAGGGGTAGCCATGCTAGTCTACTGCAGGAAATACACGTAAGATTCTTGTGATGCCAAAAAAATAAATAAAAATGAAATGAAACACTTTGTAAATCAGTTAATCTTTTAATGGTGGCATTATTAAACTTCATTTTTGTTTTTGCCAAATCAATTTTTAAGAAGAATATGTAAGTTAAAGAATATATATATATTTAAAATCTAACCAAAATGACTACTGGACAAATATAAGCTACATGGACTGTGTAGATATTAAGTGCAGTTTTGAAAGCAAGCTTCCACCTATATTTTGTCATGATCAATCATATTATGTGTGCATGTGCCTAGTTTCTGAGATAGAAACTAGGCACGTGCATACCTAGGAAGAGCATATTCCATGCCATATTTAGAATATGCATAGCCCTATTCAGGCCTTCAAACTGAGGTGTTCAGGGGTAATGTTTTGCACCAAATAATCCTCCTGTCCTTCTGCAGGCTCAAACACATCTTGGAACCTTGAAAAATCAGGGTCCAAAAATGTACAAGAATCTCCACCAGCATAGGAGGCTCCCCCACCGCAGTTGCCTTTAAACATGCGGAGGGCAACAGGGCAATGGGGACAAAGCTAGCACACTCATTAAACCTTCCCCCTCCTCACATGTTAAATCCTTGTGATAAAGGCCTGAATAGGATGTATATGTATTCTGGGTTGATTCTGCCAATGGCACCCCTCTCTCCTTAGGGAGGAGGTGGATGGTAATTTCATATTCTGATCTACCATGTGGCTTTACCATATTTCACAGCAATTCCTGGAACCATTCTTCATCTGAAGAAGGAAAATATCACCTCAGCATTCCCTCTCTAGTATAAATATGCATGCATGTGCGCGCACACAAACCAAAATTACATCAGAATAGTAGAGGTGGAGGAAGGGAAACTGGCCCAACTAGCCTACCCCAGCCAATGGTCAACGATGCCGAGAGCCACAGTTCAACAGCATCTGGAGTGCAACAAGTTGGCGAAGGCTGGGCCAAAACCATGAGAATCTCTCAGGAGCAGCCCTTGAAGTTTTCGGAATTGACCAAACTAAACGATTTTGGAAAGGGGAAGCGACAGAGGGATCCTTAGAACTACCAGGTGAAAACAGTGCCTGGTGGCTTTCGATATTTCTATCTCACCTCTTTAAGGGCACTGAGCAGGTTTCAGGCACTTTAAATAAGCCAATGGCCTTATCTGTGAGATGCACTGGTTCCTTTCAAAGCGGAGGAGCCTCGAGTCAGCAGCAGCCAGCGAAGCAGTTCAATAGGCAAAATTACTGGTTAATTCTGCAGAGCAGAGCCAGGGTGAATTCCTATCCTCAGCTGTAAGTGCCAGGAAACAGCAAGCATCACAGCCAACACCATGGAAGTGGACAGTTGCAGTCTAGCAGCCCCACCAAAATCAGAGAGCACATGCCTTTATGGTGTTGGCTGCAATGCCTCAAGTTTTCCCCTAGGGATTATGGGTGAGGGTTGTACCCCTGTAGCAGCTGCTGGCTCTCTCTGGAGAACCACTTCATAGGCCACTTCTGCCTGGATTGGACCTTCCTTTGCAAAGATGCTTGTGCTTCCTCTCCAGCCTGCCAAGTGTTGGCTGATGCCATTCTCAGCTACTGCTTTCCACTCGGGCTTTTCTACTGCCTTGCATCTCCTCCTCACTGCCCCTTCTGATTCCTTGTGTTGAGGAGCTGAGCACCTGTCGGTTGTTCAGAGGAGTCGCTCTGAGCTTTTCTTTTCATGCTGGAATTTTGAATTGTTCACCCTCCTGTTTCTTTTCTCACAATGGTGCTCTCTGGAGTAGACTAAGGTAGGCCAGATCAGGATTTGAATTTATTTCATAGAATCACAAAATTGTAGAGCTGGACTGGACCCATTAGGGTCACCTAGTTCAAGCTCCTGCACTGCAGGAATCTTTTGCCCAACGTGGGGCAAAAATTAATTTTTTTTTAGCAGTGGCCATTATTTGTTCTTGAGCCAGAATTTGGGGACTGCATGGATTGTGTGTGTGTGGGGGGGGTGTAACTTTTAACTAAACTTGTCCTTTTCTGCATATCTACAAAGGCAGTTTGATTTTTAAGCCCTATGCCATGTCTATGCAAGCACAGCCGATGCTTAACTTAATATCTAAACAGAACCTGGCACATACACAACAACATCCTTTAACCATGTTGACACTTCTTCCTTTCTTCTGACTGTTCCGCCTACCCGACATGCCTCTTTAGAATGCCATCTCTTTGCAGCGGACCCAGGGTTTTCTGCTAAATGCTTGTACTGGACTACACCCACAATGAGTAGAAGTCCAAAATATCACATCCATATCCTAAGTTATAAAGGGTGGTGTGTTGGTGGGGGGGAGGGAATGCATGTAAACAAATATATGAGAGAGAGAGCACCTCGCTCCTTTGCTCAACATATAATTAAACAGCGATTTGTAAACAGAAAAATGGCGGCACCAAGAGAAATTTGTCAAACAGGACACATGTGGCGACTGGGATGCACACAGTGGATACAATTACTTCAGCAGTGGTGGGTATTTTTTTTGTTATGATAGACACAATTATGGACATGTCCTGACAGTTTGTAGCTATTTTGCACATCCATCTCCATCCGCGCCTCTTGGTTTGAAGCACAGCATTGTCCTCACAAGTCTGCTACCCTACTATTCAGCCAACAATAAGATGACGATTGCCTTATTTATGTTCAACGCTGGCCTTGGGTGCGCAAGTGTACTATGTTGGATAACTGTAGAAACAGGCAGTTTGGCATAAACTTCCAGCACAGTCCCTATCAGTTATCAGTGGTAACTTCCTTATGCTGTAAACAAATTTGCTATAGACAGGATCACACACTTTCACTTTCGTTTTTACTTTTTGCTCTCCTTGTCATCTTTGTCTTTTTCTTCTTTTTCTGACTTTTCTTGTTCATATTTGTCTGGCTTTGTCACACTGTCATATGAAGGTGGTGACGTGGTGGAGCAGCTCCTCTTCCTCGTTTCCAGGGGCAAGTTCAAACTCAACTTATCAGGGTCCATTTTGTTTTTGCCTTTGTCATATATGAATGAAGGTTTACGCACCGGGTTTGAGGCACGGTACCGCCTGTAGGCTCGCTGGATGACTTTAGCGGACTCCAGCTCCAGTTTCCGCCTCAGAGTAGTTGTAATGGGTTCGTAGGAGACTTTGGAAGGGTTAGCAGCCATAAACCGATCTTCCATTTGTACACGGAGAGCATCCATTTCATCACTTTCGCCCAAGACACGTTTCGTGAAAGCAAACAAGATGTCAAGGCAGTGAATTCTGTCGCCGCTGACGATGGGAAGATCCATTGCAATAAGCTGGAGGTGGTTTGGCTTTGGTATTAAAAGAGGCGGCTCCAGAGAAGCTGCAAAATCAAAGAGTTTGCAGCACTCTATAAATTGGGTTGCATCCGGATCAAACTTTTCCCAAACCTCATAGAACATCTCAAAATCGTCTTCGCCTAAAGGCTCAGCACTTTCTTCGGTGGCAACGCTGAAGTTCTCCAGAATGACAGCAATGTACATGTTGACTACAACCAGAAATGAGATGATAATGTAGCTGACGAAGAAGAAAATCCCAACGGAAGGATTGCCGCAGTCTCCTTTGGTTGTGCTTCCTGGGTGGACTTTTTCAGGGTCACAGTCTGGTGCATTGCTGTTGAGAATGGGAGCCAGCAAGCGATCCCAGCCCCCAGAGGTGGTGATTTGGAAGAGGCAGATCATGCTGTTGGCAAATGTTTCAAAGTTGAACATGTCATCAACCCCAACTTCCTTTTTCACATAGGCAAACTGGGACATTCCAAATATAGCGTAGATGAACATGACCAGGAAAAGGAGGAGACCGATGTTAAACAAGGCAGGGAGAGACATCATCAAGGCAAAAAGCAGAGTGCGGATCCCTTTAGCACCCTTGATGAGACGCAGGATGCGACCTATCCTGGCAAGTCGGATCACTCGGAACAAAGTGGGCGACACAAAGTATTTTTCAATGAGTTTGGACAGGAAAAGACCTGTTTTAAAAAATAGGGCAAACCATTTTATAATATTACATATTAATGTAATACACAATCACATCATTTTCAATCAGGGGCTGCAGTGTGAGGTGGAAATGGCAAATCACTATCCCCATGTTGTTGTTTTTTACCTGGAATTGGCTTTAGTTCACATATTGTGGTTATTTTCTGACTCAACTGTCTTGTGAAAGGTCAAGGAGAGAATGCTAGGCTAGGCTGACATTGGGATGTCTACAGCTCCTGCTGTCACTGGGATAATTAATTTTCTCTGTGTATACTATGGGATGGATTCAAAAATTCTATCCTGCTCACAGGATGTCCATGCTAGATGAAGGGGGTATAGGTAATTTTGCTGAAATTGTCCCCTGTGGCCACTGAACATCTGCTCTGGAAGGGTGAGGGAACCTTCAGACCTGTAAGGCAGGGGAACTGCAGGGGAACAGACAAACATGGTCTCCTATTTCTGCCAGTAGGAACTCAAAGTCCCCTCCACAAACAGAGGAAGGCCTTGTAAGCCACCTTGGAAGGTTTTATATCCTGAAAAGTGGGATATAAATAATAGTGATTTATGAAATAATACTCATTTTTGAAAGCTGCCTGACCTGGTGGTTATCACTGCACCTTACAGGAACAAAGTTAATTGTTAACTGTATGAAGAAGTGTTTTTATTTTGCCCATTCTGACCCTGCTGCCAATCAATTTCATTGGGTGCCCCTGACGTGTCATGAGATGAATTGACATAGGTTTTTCTTCATACCATTTCTGACCCCACTAAATTGAATCCCCTGCATCTACAAAGCCTCAAGTACTTATAAAAGACCTCTGTGTCATTTCTGATGCAGTACAATGTTAAAACAATTCGCCATGCATGCTGCAATGTAGACTTCGTAGTCTCAAGTGGAAAAAAAGGGAATTAAGTGGGTACCAGCAGCGTTTACAACAGTTTATGCCAAATCTCCAAAATACTTTCTTTAGCTGACCCTTTTCTTCACTTATATCCATCCTTTGAGCCCCAAATATTTCTTACCTATAATAGAGATAATGACGACCACAAAATCAAATATATTCCAACCAATAGTGAAATAATAATAGCGGAGTGCAATCAATTTCAGGAGAAACTCCCCAGTGAAAAGGATGATGAAAATCACATTGATCCAGTACAAAGTGTCTTCCACAGAGGGGTCCTGGTTATCTGTTTCTACCATCATGGTGATCATGTTGAGACAGATGAGAACCATGATCCCGATGTCAAAGGCTTGCTTGGTTACGAAATCAAAAACAAAGCCTTGGAATTTATTCTGCAGAAACAAGACAGAGAGAAGTAAGACAACAAAAGGGTGTGAGGTCATTTCATGGGCAAGGGAAAGCTGTTTTTCTCGGTGAACTTGCTTTTTAAACTTCAGTGAAAGCTTTTGTCTGATTAATGCTTAAAAAAATTTAAAAAAAGATACAAGACATTCTTACTGCTGGCCTGGGTATGGGTTTCTGCGGTTTCTTGGACCCCAGCTTTTTCATTGCATTGTAATATTTCTTCTGTTCTTCTGTCAGAAAAATGTCTTGTCCTCCTAAGTAAAGGAATTAAAAAAACCACTGGTTACAACCATAACTCTAGACTCATGAGTATACACTTGGTCACTGTACTCCATGTGTTGATAACCTTGAGGCTGGATTACTGCAATGTGCTCTATGTGGGGCTGCCCTGGAAGCTCCAGCAGGTGAAAACTGCTGATGGGAGCAGATGCCAGACAGCCTGTGACACATCTGCTAAAACATCTGCACTGACTGCCCATGTGCTCATGGGCCAGCTTCAAGTTTCAAGGTTCTTACATTAATACACAAAACCCTGAACAACTTGGATCCAGGATACCTTAAGGACCTTGAGCCCTAACACCCTGAGCTTGATCACAGAGATCATCCGCAGGAGTGCTGCCTGTTGTACCTCATCTTGCAGAGGCCCAACTGGCTTCAAACAGAAGCCAGGAATTTAGTGTAGCTGGCCACATGCTATGGAACACTCTTTCATCAGAGATATGGCAGGCCCCTTCACTTTTGACTTTCGTGCATTTCTTGAAGACTTTAATGATTATTTGACTTTTTAAAATAGTGCTTTATGTTTATTTGTTGTACACCAACACTGATATTTTATGACACAGCGATACAAAAACATTTTTAATACATATATAAATGGGTAAACCCCATTTATTTCAAGTAGATGTGCAAGCGCATGACTTCTTCATGGGTATATTTTAACCACAAAACTTTGGGCAGGATTCACCTAACAAGCCCTGTGTGGAAACTCTGTGTAAGGACTTCTGCTAGCACTATGGGGTTTCCGCCCCTCTCCCTGTGCCCCTCAAATTGGCTCTGGGGTGCCTTCTTAAACTCCCAGAACGGACTATGGGAGGAAAGGGGGATGCATCCTTCTGTCTCAAAAGCTGATATGCTCATGTAGATGGAACATCGGCATTTTATTCCATCCATAAAGATTAACCCTGCAACATTCACCTGCCCAGTCTACCAGTGTAGGGATTATTTTGCATTCATGTAGGTTTTGTTTTAAAGAGGAAAATGAAAATATTTGATGCGGATCATTATTTGATGAATACCCTTTGTTCCCTAAGTAATGGAATATCCTCGAACGAAGCCGTTTATTGGCTTCATTTAACTCCTTCTTGAATTGAATTACTTCTGGTACTTGCTTAGTGGTGGTTTTTGGTACATACGCTTTACGTTTCAATTTAATTTATTTTCATCTTCCATAGGCCACTGCAAATTGTATTAGAGGATACTGACAGCTTGCATACAGTGCAGAATGTTGATTTAATTGCACTGCTGTTGTATCACTTGACCTCCAGCAGAAGGAATAGTAATTCTATCAACAGTTTGGATTGGATCAAAAGATTCCCTCTTCCTGAGATGGAAGCAGCTTCCTTAGAAGGAAAGAGTTTCTGTCAGAGAAAAACTCGTTCCAATGAAATTCCTTCTATTCAAGAAATGGAATCCCCGATGCTCCCAAAGGAAATATAGTGGTGGTTTTTTGGGAGGGAAGGACTGAATGGAGAACAACGAGATCCATTAAAAATCATACATATCCGTAACTAACTTATCAACTTCAGAGCCATGATGCTCTGATGTACACTTGGAGTTCCTATCCCTTCTCCCCATACACACCAGAATGTGAAGCTCTTTGCCCATTTGGGGGCAAAGGGCTTGAGTAAGTTGTGGCACCTCAGCTCCAGGTATTCCTGGATGAGGAAAATTATCTACAGCCAAGTCAGTCAAGCTTCAGGTATAGTTATGAAATGGAGACTGCCTTGGTCACCTGGATGGATTATCTATGTAGGACAATGGGGAGTGTGTTCCTGTTGGTTCTGCTGGTCCTCTCTATTACTTTTGATACCACCAGTCACGCTATCCTTCTAGACCTTATGGTGGGAATGGGAGACACAGTTTTACAGTGATTCTGGACCTTCTTGGAGGGGCAGTTTCAGAAGGAGGTGCTAGGGGACTCCTGTTTGATACCTTGGCCTTTGGTCTATGGTGTCTCTCAGGGTTCCATCTTCTTCCCCAAGCTGTATCTACACAAAACCACAGGGGGAGGATGTCGGGGTTTTGAGATCACCAATATCCTGATGACACCCAACTCTCTCTCTCTTTTTCCTTCCAAATTCAATAACCTGGTCAAGTTCTAAAGCAGTGTTTGTTGTTGCTAATGGACAACGTGAGGTGCACGCAGGCACTCCATTTGCCTTATGGCTTACGCTCGTTTATCCATTTGTAAGAGATGCTGGAAAAGGGCAAATGTCTCATTGCAAACTTGCCAATCAGGTTTTATGCTGTAACAAAAAGTTCAGCTGACCATTCAGAAAACTGAATATTGGTGTAAATTAAGTAACACACCAGTCGTACTGTATAAGCACCTCCAAATGCTATGGCAGTAAGAAAACATAGTGCTGATTCTGGAATGGTAGGCAACTATGACATTCTGAATGCAGTGGTACATCGGGTTAAGTACTTAATTCATTCCGGAGGTCCCTTCTTAACCTGAAACTGTTCTTAACCTGAAGCACCACTTTAGCTAATGGGGTCTTCGCTGCTGCCGCGCCGCCGGAGCACGATTTCTGTTCTCATCCTGAAGCAAAGTTCTTAACCCGAGATACTATTTCTGGGTTAGCGGAGTCTGTAACCTGAAGCGTCTGTAACCTGAAGCGTATGTAACCTGAAGCGTATGTAACCCGAGGTACCACTGTATTTTCTGTGAAACACAGCTCACTGTGTGAAGTAGAAATGAATAATCTGGACACTTATCTTCTTTTTTTGCTGGTTGAAATTATCAATGATGACACCAATGAAAAGATTCAAGGTGAAGAATGAACCAAAAATGATGAAGATGACGAAGTAAAGATACATGTACAGGTTGGCCTCATATTTGGGCTGTTTATCCAACTATAATGCAAGGAAACATAAAAATAGATCAGTACCCAATGGGCTGCATAGATTATCTTCTAAAAACAAGTAGGTGCTTGCTTAAACACCAATACCAAGGAAATAAGAACAAGCATATAGATGTCTGTAGAAAATACATAAGGCCAGTTCACAAAACTAGAGCATATTTAAAAAAAACCCAATGTTCCCTTATAGATACTGAAAAACGTTCTACAGAATGGCCTTGGTCTTGCAATTGCTTCCTGAGAACCACAGTTGGGATTAGTTTATTCCCATGTTTTACTGGCAATTTAAACTAGGGATACATTTGTTTCTAAGAGTTAATGGTACAGTAGGAATTGAATCCCTGACATCTCTATGTAGGGCTGGAAGACCCCAGTCTGAAATATTGGAGGGCTGCTTCTAATACTGATCCAGATGAACTAATGGTCTTTGCAGCCTCTTATGTTCCCAGGTCTGGGCCTCTAGTGCATGAGTGCTTGCTCCCACTTTCCCTTAGCTGTCACTAAAGAGAGGCAGGGGGGAAGAGAATAGAAACAAGGACTTAAGTGAGGGAGAAAATAAAAGGGAAAGTAAGGTCAAACAGGAGGCAGAGCTGCTAATCACTTTCCTAACCAACAGACTTAAGGTAAAGGGTTAATTTGTGGGTGGACTGGCAATTAATGAGAGCGGGGTGGGAACTAACACTGTAAATATAGTAAGAAAGACATAAGACTATCTTGGGATGAAAATGGCCACAATTTTATTGACAGCAGATGTAAACTGGATTTGGCATTGGCATTGAGTCTGTGCCCCGTAACAGCAAACCCGATTGCTGGCTGATATCACCATCAGGCTTAATCCTGGTGAAGGGATTTATGCAGATCTAATGGAGAAATCCCACCAGGATGCCATTTAGGGATGTCCTATGGCATGTTGGCCCCCATCTGAGCTTTCGGACAGAACCCAAACCTTGGACCCCTTTAGTAGGATACCCTGAATTGTTCCCAGATTTGGGGCTAACCAAGGCAAAAAACAGACTTAAGAGTAAAAGGTTAACTTCATGCTCTTTGGTCCTTAGGAAAGCAATTTCCACTTCCAGAATATTCCCCTACTTGCCAAGTACCAAATCTTAGACAAGATGCCCAATTTTTTGGGGGGGATGATGTTTTTAAAAACAAATTGGAAAGACAAGACTATTCTCATTGTTAAGAGTATAAATATGATAGTAAGCGCTTTAAAACACATACACACTTATAATCAGCATTTGAGAAAGAAAAAGATACACCATCATGTACTTACACCTGTGGAATCCACAGCAGCATACATTATCTCCATCCATCCTTTAAAGGTGGCCTATAAAGAGGCAATATGTTAAAAGCTATCCACGATCTAAGTTCTAATAGATGAGAATATGGTGCACATTTTCCAAAGCAGAGCTTAAAACTCTTGCATATACAGGTGACCATTTTAGCACACATGCACAGCTGTAGGAAGAAACTGGGAAAGATTGCCTCCCCCTCCCTTCATAGCAGGCGTCCTTCTATGAGCGGAAGGACACCAATGGGATTCCACCCGACAAAACTGACATCCAACCTACTGCCAATGGAAGTTATTACCAGTATTTAATAGGGGATTACTTACAACCTGAAGTAGAGAAAGGTATCCGGCTCCCACATTATCATAGTTTACTTTAACATTTGTCCATCTGGATACATTTGGCATACTTTCACAAACTGATTTATTCTGAACTATTTCATATGAAATCATTTTCTGATCTGTATTATTCATGCAAAAGTAGAACGTGCCAGCAAACATATTGACACCCATGATGCTGAAAATTAGCCAGAATATAAGGCAAACGAGAAGCACGTTCATGATGGAGGGTATGGCTCCTACCAGAGCATTCACAACCACCTAGACAAAACGACAAAAGAAGTGAACAGAAGTTATTGAAACGGCTGCAAAAGATTTGATGTTGGGAAAAGTATTTAGGTAGATTCTGATGCTGGTGTTAGATTTTATCAGATACTTAATAGTAAACTCCAATTAAATCCCAGTCAACTGGCTGAAGCATTTTAATCAACTGATCAGTTTGATTAACATAAATCTGCATTTAAATAAAAACCACAGTTCTGGGGGAAAGTTTCTAAACCATTACCATCATGGCTGTTAAGAGGCCATGTCTGTCGCTGTACTGGAGGCTCTTAGTAACTCCAGCGAAAGCAGTGGGCTCCTGCCTTATGCCTTATTATGTTTAACCCTACCCAGTGATAAGGCCTTATGCCTTAGTCTAGTTAGTTAGGATGATGTGGTCTTATTGCACAAATCATGCTTTAATGTGCTTTATGCAGGCGAGTTCTGTGCATTATGCTCAGAAGCAGGCTGTCTATGTGCATTTCATGCTTTATTCTTGCTTTACATGTATAAAACTTGCAGCCTTTATCCAAAGCATGTTTATTGCTGCTGAATCCACCAAGAACAGCTGCCCTTGGCAAACCCCTCCCCACACCTCTTTCCCCCAAGGCATAATCCCTTTTCTAAGATGGAATGAGTCATCTTCTGGCTCTGTGACGATACACACTTACGTCACAGAAGACCACGTCTTTCTAAGACGATATTGTCACTTTGCATTTAAAAATATTTTTTAAAGGAAGATTGTTGTTGCTGCCCTAATAATTATTTAAGTCTAATATAAAAGGTAATGTGAATATTGCATGTTCAAATAACTATCTAAATAAATATATTCCTCTAGAAAAAATGAGGAAGGGAAAGTGGGATCCTATTATGTGCTTAATAATGTATTCGAGAACAAATGAGAACAGAAGGCTGTGAATATAACAGGAGAGCTAATCTCTTACAGGCGGAGATATAAGCTTATTGCAGAGTGGGTGGGAAGGGATGATATTCACCTGGGTTATAACCAAAAGAAGGAGATTGGGTAAGAGGCTATTGTCTGGGACACCTGTATTGGGGGGGGGGCAGCTAGAATGCAAGTGCAGAAAAACTCCTGGTGAATATGACTGAAGATATGTATGTGCTTGTTATCGAGCCTACTCAGTGGTGGTGAAGGCACCAAAGAAGAAGAAAAGAAGAGTTTGGATTTGATATCCCGCTTTATCACTACCCGAAGGAGTCTCAAAGCGGCTAACATTCTCCTTTCCCTTCCTCCCCCACAACAAACACTCTGTGAGGTGAGTGGGGCTGAGAGACTTCAAAGAAGTGTGACTAGCCCAAGGTCACCCAGCAGCTGCAAGTGGAGGAGCGGAGACGCGAACCCGCTTCCCCAGATTACGAGACTACCGCTCTTAACACCACACTGGCTGAATTCGCTGCCTCCAGTGCATCCTCTATATACCATGTATTTCAGTTTTATTGCATGGAGCAAGTTCTCTTACATACTGGCCCAAAGGAGGTTGTGGCCTGCTGTGATTTGCTTGCAATCTGCTTGGACCTTGACTCCACTGTTGTAGCAGGTCAATCTCAAGGGGTGTCCAGAATGCTGTGTCGTTCAGTTTTGTTGAATGAGTTTCATTACCACAGCCTGCGTATGTTGGCAGGGTACCTGGGTGGGTGCAGGTGACCATTTGCATTCCTTGACCCTTGACCCTCATGGCTGGTGATGGAAGGAGAAGGCCTCACTCCAAGAGGGAATGGTATTGGGCTGCCTGGAAGAGGCAGCAGTAAGACCACTCCTTCAGAAATTCTCCCTGGAGCTCAAAGATCTGAACAACTATAGAATGATTGCAAATGCCCCCTTTCTGGGAAAGATTCTTGAGTGGGTGGTCTCTGACCAGCTCTAGTCAATTTTGGGTGGGACTGGTTTTCAGTTAGTGTTTTGGTACTGAGACCGCCCCACTCATTCACAAAGCCTACTGGGGGAATTTCCTCTCTCAGTCTAAGCTACTTGGCAGGGCTGCTGGGATGATAAACAGAAGGGAGAACCATGTACACAGTCCTGAGGTCCTTGGAAAAGGATGGGATAAAAGTGAATCATAGTAACAACAATTTTCCGTGTGGATGCCACACACACAAAACGTTCTCCCCAAGTCAAGTTATGCTCGCCTTGGATGTAATGTTTACTATAATTAAATGTCTATACCACTCTTTATCAAGAGACCACAAAGTGGCTCACAACACATCCCACTGACTCCTTTTGGGGCATTATGGTTATCCTCAAAGCCCCATCCCTGGTTGAAAGCAATGTTCCTGCCAGCAACTGCAAACTAAAACAGCACTGATACCCTTACATTAAGAAACAGAGATACCGCTTGCTGTTTCTGACCACGAGTCCCTCAATTGTTATTTAATGTTGTCTTGCTCACCCTCATTCCTTCAAATCGCGATAATGCTCTCAGAGGTCTCAAGGCTCTCAGTGTCCGAAGCGATTTAATGGGACCAAGTTCGGAAAAGTTCAAGGCATTGGCTATTAGACTCACTATAGAAACCTATTCAGAAACGACAACAGTTACAGAATTATTGAAAAAGTATAAATTATATCTTTTTAACAACAGCAAACAGAATACAAATATCAGCTCGATTACAAACTTAAACCAGAAGGCGAACCTGCATTACGCCAAGTAAACAGAGATGAATGTTCCTTCCTTCCTCCCCAGGAACAGCTCGCCTGGTGGGATGGAGTCACAACAATAGCCTGCCAACAGCGGCAATACCTCCACAGACTAAGAGGGGGACAGATGAGGTGGTTGCAAGGTTAGGGCTGTGTGGATGCACTGGCAGAACCATCACATTGCCATCGCTAGCTTGCCCACACAACCCTGTGCTCTCTGTCTCCCTGTCCCTTCCTTTCCCATTAAGTGGCAGCAAAATTGCTGATGGGAGGCTGTTGTTGCAGCCACTGCTGGGCAAGCTATTTCTGTTTCCACCTACCTACCTACCCACATGTATATGCTGCCTTTTTCCCCAGGGTGAACTTAGGGCAGTGAAATGGGTTTCCCAGGTTGTCTTTGAGGAGACCTAGGTCTGCTTAGTAAGGTTCCTGCCCTTAGATACGGTGCCCTCAGATATGGTGCTTTTCAAAATTCACTCCATATGGGTCTTGCACCATCACAGGACAGTGTTCCAGCAACTGATGCACCTAAAGTCTGAATTATCTTACTGTTATTCACCTCCCTGAATTACCCACCTATACTGTAAATGACAAACAATTCAGTAATGGGTACAGAATGAGCCCCGCTACTAACCACAAGACCACCAATCTGCATCCAGGCATGCTGGAGGCCAGGTTCCTGACTATCCCAGTAGCCAAACATAGCACAGAATCAAGCTTACGTGAGATATAGAAGAAGATTATGAACACATAAAGTCACATGGCACAGCACTACAACGCTGCCACATCCCCACATCTAGGCAGTCATGAGTACGCAAGAACACATGGGAAGAGAAATTGATAACTGTGGGTAACGCTGTAGAAAGGGCACTGAGCACAAACAGAGGGCAAAGTGTTGTAGCCCAGTTCATGAGAGACCTGAACAAATCCCTATATCTACAGAACACACCTGAATAAAAAGCAAGGGACTTCTATTACCAGTTCCTTCCCATAGGTACTATGTGTTAGGTCGCTGAAGCAAACACCCACTAGGTAAGAGACCTAAACCGGTGAAGGTGACTGGGAGTACAAAAATGCATCTTGCTCTGACTGCGATGCGTAACTGAGCCAAACTAGCCCACTTTAAATATTATGATGCATTATGATGAAAGCATGGCTCACCAACAATTCAATGTACAAAGCTGCTAGGCAAAGGAAGTACTTACATCAACTATCAGGAAATCGAGCCAGCACCAGGCATTTGTGAAATAGGCTTGAAACCCATAAGCTACCCACTTCAGAAGCATTTCCAGAATGAAGACGTATGTGAAGATCTTATCTGCATATTCAAGTACGATCTTGATAGTCCTGCGCTGTTCTATATATATATCTTCAAAAGCCTATGAAGGAAAACGCTACTACAAATAAGGTCATATTGGCTGGGGGGGGGGGCATGGAGAGACAAAATGTCACTCATTCTGCTGTGCCTGATATTTTTAAAGGCTATGCTTTATATTTATGTACATCTCAATTACATTTTGGACACTTGTGACTTGCTATTCCACTGGAAGATTTTCTAACATTTGCTTGAAATGCAGAATCTACACATTATGAAAACACGTACCTGAACCAAATTGGTTTGACAAGTTATAAGACATCTAGAGGCTACCAATACTCTTTAAAATACACTTACAGAAGTTCCTGCTATTTTATTTAATTGATTTCAACATAGCCTCTCAAGAATAAAATTATTCCCAATACATCAAAATGCAACAAACAACATCAAAAAATAAATAAAATCAAAATGAAATGTAATTCTGTTTCATTAAAACTAGCAATCCAACACCCAAAATACGGCATAATGCAGTATAATTCATGGGAAGGAATTAGGAGTTTATCCAAAAAATGCTTGAAAACTAAAGCAGGAATGTAGAACCTATAGCCCTCCAGATGTTGGACTCCCAGCTCTCATCAGTCCCACACAGCATGACCAAAGGTCAGGAATGATGGAAGTTGTAGTCCATCTAGAGCAGTGGTTCTCAACCTGTGGGTCCCCAGATGTTGTTGGACTACAACTCCCATCATCCCTGAGCTCTGGCCTTCCTAGCTAGGGCTGATGGGAGTTGTAGTTCAACAACATCTGGGGACCCACAGGTTGAGAAAGGCTGATCTAGAGGGACACATTCCCACAACTTGTTTTAAGTGAGAAGGTCAGGATTAGGAAATGAAACTAAAATGGTAGCATGGTAAGAGACAAACCCAACTGTGACTTTAAGAGAATCTTAACGAATAGCTACTTGGATTTCAAAGGGAGAAATATATGTTAAAAAAGTCATATAACTAGAAGGGAATAGAAGACCACCCCAAAATAAATTCATTTGTGTACAAATTGGGACAATTCCTTCCATCCCAGTTAATTAATATACTCCGTTCTACAACATAATGATCTATATTCCACTTACCAAAGCACCACTGCTGAGAATGATCATGAAGACAATGAAGGTTTCAAACCAGTTGTGTTCCACTATCTTATAGCAGGTTTTGCGAAGGTTCCACCATAATTTGCCCTTTCCAGATTCTATGCTGACCTGACAGCATTTGAATCTCCGTACACAGCCTGGAATCAGAATATTTGGTGGATGAAATGATCAAAGTAAAATAAAATGAAGTAAAATATTTAGGCAAACTCCAGGATATGGATTGGGCCCTGAGTTGCCCTTCTGCAAATGGAAGGAAATCCTCATAGATCTTCATTTCTCCCTACAGCCTCACGTGCCACCTCCCACAGTTTCCCCAAAGGCACCCCAACTCTCTAGAAGAGACTTCTGTTAGCCACAAGGGTGTGACTCCCCCCCACCCCACCGCCTTTCCATTCATAGTTCTGCTCATAGTTCTCTGGATCCAGCCTCATGAGTTTCTCATGTCCTGAAGCCATTGTTGTAAATGAACAGTACTGAAATATGCAATCGAAGGTATGTTTATGGAAACAAAATGTTTTGTGGTGCTGTAGAAACTAATGTATGAATTTGATGGAGGCTATAAAATCAACCACCAACACAGGTCTTTGAGGTGCTAAGACACAAACTATTAGTTTCTGCTCTTTTGTCTTTACTGTTGCCAGATTCATTTATCTAATTAAACATTATACAACAGTATTTCTAAATTCATTGTGCACAATGATGGTGATTATTAATGTAGCATCATCAATGTGTATGGCATTCTGTATTTTATGTGTATTATGGAATAACAAACATAATAAGTTCGGTTTCTTGCTCTGAGAACCTGATTTCATATATGTACAGAGATACATTATCAGGGAATTACATCTTCCTCCTCCTCTGTTGCATTTCCCCAGAACACCAATTGCAGTATTTTGTTCCTGAAAAATGTGATTCTCCTATTTCACCCTTGCAAATATGACTGTTGCGGGGAATGTGTTTCCACAAGTATAATGAGTACAGAGCTAAAGTTAAGATGTAATCAGAAAAACATGATTTTCTGCTATATGAATGAACTAACGCTAGAACTACTGCTAGAACTCTTTCATAATGAAGATTTGCTTCCGCTTTTAAGCAAACCTTAGTTTCTAGTGCAACAAAAGCAGGGAGCTGTGGTTTGCTTTAACTCTAGGCAGCAGGGGAAAGTCAGCATCAAACTGTGGCTTCAGATTGACTTTTTTCTAACTAGTCTTAATACAAACCACAGTTTCTGAGTTCCAGCATAATGGGAGTCATGTTTTGTTTAAGAGCTTCTGGCCTCCTTGCAGACGGGAGAGATGTGGGAAGGAGGAGTCTGCAAGCCTGAGGCTCTCCATGGTTCATTCTCATAGTGGGAAACCATGGTTTCTGACCTTATTGGATCACTCATAATGTCCAGTGTTATGTGACAGCATGCATTATTCCCCTCACATTATTGTTACTACTACCTCTGAAAGTCAGTCTAAATTTGCATCTATACATATAAAATGGCATATGCAATTTTATTTATTTTTTGCTAATTTGTCACCAGAGGTCTGTACCTAGCAACGCTCTGGCTTAATACCTCTTTTTAAGGAAACCTTTGGTACTGTTTCTACTTTCTCTTTTCTCAGACAAAGAAACAGTACCCTCAGGACTCTCTACCATTCTGCTTAATGACAGGACGAAAATGGATCAATGGAAAGGATCTTCCTATGGAGTCTGGAAGCAGGAAACAATTTGCTAACTGCATCCTGAAGAGTAGGAAATCCTCTGGGACAAAGTCAGCAAACTTATTCTAGACTCCAATTTCAAAGGGATGGATTTTTTCCCCCAACTGACAATCTGGAGCAGTGCACAGACTTGACGTCCTTCCTCAAGGAACAGGCCAACATATTGATTCCCAACTCCAAAGGGAGAAACGTCACTGTAACAGATTGATAGTCTGCCATTAATCTGATATGTTTCACCACAAATGCTCATTTAAAGAAATGACTTAAAAGAGAGAAAAAATCCTCCTGGCAATATATGGATTGGATAGCTGTTAGCCAATTTTATGATTTATGGAAAGCCCAGAACAATTGTGCAGGGTTGGGGAAGAGGTGAAGTTTCAATCCTGCAGGAAAAATTGTTGCCTGATGGAACCTTAGCCGTAGCGCTATGCTGAATACAACCCAGAGACATATTGCTGGTGCCAGACATTCTGCCATCCCTACATTTGTTTGCTAAACTGACTCACACAACGTAAATTTAAAACAGCTTCATTACTCTAAGTAGCAACTGTGTTTAAAATAGCATTTCCTCAAGGAAAAATCCCAGTGGGAATAGCTATGTTAAGTCTGTTGTAGCAAAAGAAACAGAGAGATCTGTGGCACCAATAAGACCAGCACATTTATTGTGTCATAAGCTTCCATGAGCCACAACCCACTTTGTCATAAGCATAAAGTCATTTGGCTGAACATCTCCCCCCTGCTTCCTCACATACTCACAGGATACAGCAATTCCCAAATACATATTTTTGTCCTGCATGCAATCCCCACTGTTAGGTTTGCTGCCCTTGATACCTTCTGTAAAGCAAGCCTTTGGTTGTGATGGGTCTTCTGCTGCATCTTCCGCTTCCTCCTCTCCCAGGGGAGCAACATCAATTGTGCTGCCTTCAGTGGTGCTGGAAATACTTAATTTCTGTAAGAAAGATCACACAATGCATTTTTTTAAAAAGCAGTATGTATTGGATTCTGAGCTGAGGTTAATGTGACTGGGCATGCACAGGAGTATGTTCACACATCTCAAATCAGAGTTCCAGAAAAGCAAAGCTGTGTTCACAAAAGCCTACTTCAGATTACGGGACCTTTACATGCCAGCCCATCTGTATGTCCACTCTACCTCCCAGCTTTCTGTGTTGAGTGGGAAGCCCTGAAGGGTTTTCATAAGTTTAAATTAATGTTCCGAGAAGCCTCCCTGTGACTGGGAACCCTGATAATACAGGACTTCCAATAGGAGAGGCTTCCAAATGCACACAACCAAATGAACTTAGACATGCCCCCTGTTTCCTTCAGACTTTCCTGATCAGCATGGGAAGTCAGGGATGCAGCCAGTGTTTGGGGGCAGTGCAGGTGGGGACAGAGCACACAGCCATACTCTGCAACCACCGGGTGGAAATTGCAACACCTGATTACGGTTCAAGTGCCTTAGAACATCTAAACATACCCATATGCAGCTGTGCATTGTTACTTACCAAAGGAAATTTCAAATGCTTTTTGGGCAATGATGGTAAGAATATCCCCCCCCCCCCAAATTATCTGGTGTCAATCTGTATAATTTATCAATAAATGTATAGAGGGTGCATTTTTTTCTGCTGCTCTTAAAATTGTTCTTTTCAAAAAAGAACAATTTTGTCATAGTAGTTCTGACTTAACTGACATTAGTTGATCGGCAGAAAAAAAATACTGCTAAACAGCTTTATCTATCAATATTATTTATAATGCTAAATTCAAGCTTGCACCACAGACAGGAACCACCCCCGCCCAAAAAAAGTTGAAATCAGCAGCATGACCCAAATTGCTCTCAATTTGGACGTGAACGATACCAATGATTGATTCCCCGCCACCTCCACAAAGATTGAGTTTTATCTAGGGGTGGCTCTATGCTAGCATCAAGCACTTCTGCAAAGCATGGCAACCAATTTTTGACTATCTTCCCTATCCATTCCCTCTTTCCCTGAAAAACAGCTCCTGGTGGGTGGGGGACCCTCCAGAACAATATTGGATATGGTGCAGTAAACTGGAGTTCACCAGACAACAGATAATCACAGAATACCATTTCACCCCCAAACTCCTTTTTTTTAAAAAAAAAAAAAAGGAAATGTCAACAATGAAAGAAACATATTTATTTCATTCCCACAGCCTTTATTTTGCATTCTCTCTTGCAAGTGCATAGATGTGTTGGTTTCTATGCATTTTTAAACTCTTTGTTACTCTGGTACTCAGACCAACTCTTAGAAGTATTCAGAGAATTATCGATTCAGGTGCTAGAGAACTCTCATCTTAGGTTGTGATTGCAATTGGTTTGGCATCCTTCGAACCTGATCATCGAGATCAAATATGCAGTGGAATTTAAGGCAGGGCCAAAATAAACAGCATGACCCACGATAGGTCTGAGTATCAGAATTAACCAAAGTAGTTGTGATTATGGCATTCTCTGGCCTGATACAATGTTATTACCATACAGTATATAACATCAGAAATGGCACCAACAGCTGGATGAATGTGGGGAATGATGAAAGCACAGTTAAAACAATACAGGGCGATTCTAATCACAGTTATTGCATTCTGAATTACATGATTCAGGGATGATGTACACCTTTCCGTGATTTTCAAACTTTTATTCCAATTATTAAAAAACTTATTTAAGATGTTTAAAGGAACTGTTCCTAATCATTTTTAAGAAAAGCAAATATTTTCCTGAAAGTGATAATCTTATTGACAATCTAGATATTTATCCTAATATGGTGTTAAGTATGGTGCTGCCATGGACCCAATGGGTGTGTATAACCAACCATGTAAATAATTACTCAGAGATGGACCAGTCACAAGCACACTCCAGCCCCCGCCCATACTAATATGTTGCCAATTCTCCTTCCATCAAAGCTAATCATTGGGAAAGTAATTGTCACAAAAATAATTCGTGGTTTTTCATTCTCATGAAGGTATCCTGATCAATGTAGCCTAAGTCCATCAAACTCAAGTGGAGGAAGGTCATCGTTTTGGGAGCTGCTTGGAAAAATGGATGGAACAGAACCTCTGTCGGTCCAATTCACTTTAAAACTTATGTCAAATGAAAGGTGAAAAAATACTTATTGACTGTACCTACAAATGCTAGCTTGGATTTTTCTGTTTTAGTTTCAGTCTGCTGCAGATAGCACAGGGTTGCCATATTTCAAAAAGTGAAAATCCGGACACAAAAGCTATTTTTCAGGAAATTCAGCATTTCAGCGATTTGCACCCAGACACTGCTTCCGATTGGCATATTCCAGCTATGTCAGGAAAATTCCAGGCATATGGCAACCCTAAGATAGCAGAAAGATTTACGAGCACAAATTATCCCTGTGATAGATTTTCATGTTATTTGCTACTCAGGTATTTTATGAGGACAGTTAGATTGCTATTCGTTCCAGATGAACAAGCAACTGGCAAAGTGCAAGACACTTGTATCCAGTTCCCTGCCTGTAAAGTGAAATTATGAATGATCTACCTCACGAGGCTGTTGTGTAAATATTGTGAAGGTCTTTATACACAAGAAGCATTATAAAAAAGACAAAAGCAGCAATTAATACTCTTCTAATTATTCTAAACTGGAAAATACCAATTCAAGCCAGTGTGGTGTAGTGGTTAAGAGTGGTGGACTCGTAATCTGGGGAACCGGGTTCGATTCCCCGCTCCTCCACATGCAGCTGCTGGGTGACCTTGGGCCAGTTACACTTCTTCGAAGTCTCTCAGCCTCACTCACCTCACAGAGTGTTTGTTGTGGGGGAGGAAGGGAAAGGAGAATGTTAGCCGCTTTGAGACTCCTGAAGGGGAGTGAAAGGCGGGATATCAAATCCAAACTCTTCTTCTTCTTAATTACATGAACATTTGCTTTCATCATTTAATATGGAGAGCATTTTTATTGTAAGATGCTGTAGCAGAGACAGGGTGAAGTAATTCTGAACTGGATTATAAAAATCACAAGTGATCAATATATATTACATTTTCCTCTTCTGTTACATAACAGCCTGCCAGCCTGCCTTGTATGCAACCGTGGGGCCTGCCAATCTGGAATGAGCCACTCCTAGGCTGGTCCAATGCAGAATAGTGAAAGCAACATTACTACCGGTGCTAATCAGGAGCTGCAGCTACCCAACATCCTCTGAGCCCATGGAAGGGTGCATCTTAGTCTCCTCTTTCCCTGACAGCAGCAAAATGGAGAGCGGTCAGAATGACCCTGGGAAGGGAGAAAACAGGACAGCCACACCTGGCAAGAGCAGGACACACTCCATATGAGTGGTTAGGAAGGAGCATCCCTTCTGAATTTTACTAAGCTTCTAATTTTGCTACACCTAAAATATTGCTGCCCTAGGCAGCGGCCTAATTTGCCTAGTGGTTAAATCAGTTCATGGTGAGAGGACACACAAAATAGCAAGTGAAAAGTATGTCCCACAGAGGACCTTGTGGTCTTCAAACAAAAACATCTTGGAGGTCCCGGGCCACAGGGAGGTTAGGCTGGCCTCAACCAGAACCAGGGCTTTTTCGGCTGTGGCCCCGATCTTGTGGAACGCTCTGTCACAAGAGACTAGGGACCTGCAGGACTTGACATCTTTCCGCAGGGCCTGCAAGACAGAGCTGTTCCATCAGGCCTTTGGCCAAGGCACAGCCTGACCCACTCCTTTGGTAATCCTCATAGAACTCTAGCCCAATGGTTGCCATTAATTTGATTTTGAATTGATTTTAGAATGAATTGATTTTAGAATGTTGCATTACTTTTACTGTTGTTAGCCGCTCTGAGCCCGGCTTCGGCTGGGGAGGGCGGGATATAAGTAAATTATTATTATTATTATTATTCAGCATTTATGATGAAGCACACATGGGATTGGCTTGGGAAGCCAGCTGGTTCTGTTTTGACATGAATTTATTAAATCTTCAGAACTTAGAAATGGAACTCAGCAAGACTGCAGATTCTGATGAGCTAGCTAAACTCAAGTAGGTACTCTACCAGCTTTACTTTCGGGGATTGCACCCTGTGCCTTAAAATAAGGTTTGCGAGAGAGCGGTTGTCACAACAATGAAATGTTTAGATTTTAAACGTATGGGGTGACATCCAACCGTGTCACCTCACCTATGCAATGGATTTCTGCTTGCGCAACAGTGCTTCCTCTCTTCCCCCCCAACTGACCAGCATTCCAAAAATCTGCTCTGTAGGGTTCCAGGATTCCCCATAGCTGATTATGGAATCACATGGGTGGGGGGGAGAACAGGAAAAGGGGCAAGTCCTGTGGCATCTGTTGGCACAAAGAGTCATCCTTTAAAAATAAATTACTTTAAAATATATTTATACCACTTTTCATTTAAAAATCTCAAAGCACAATGTAAAACTTGAATGACAATAATTGTAAAAAAAAGCAACCAGTAAAACCAAACCAAAGGTTAAGAAAGGAAAGTATTCATTGCCAGCAAAATCTTGAGCGAATGAATAAGTTTACATCAGGTAGTGAAACAGGATTGGAAGCAGAGGTACTGCCTCCTGCTCATTAAACTCCGCATGGCATGGAAAAACCCCTCATGGGTCTTCCAGGGCCTTTGGCAAAGACTGTCAACAGCCACATCATTATGGGAAAGCCGCACTCACAATTACTTCCTTGGCCATCACCATATTCAGCTGCAGCCACTGAGGTAGCAGTTAGTTTGCCAAGCCTCAGGCCTCCTCCTCATGGCTAAGAGGAAAGGTAGTGAAGGATCCTTCATCCCTGAAAGTTCCCTACCTGATTGGAATGTAGCCAGAGGACCCAACTGCCCAAACACCTAACAGGAAACACGATAAAGTGCAAATTACTGTTAGTGGTGATGTCAATGTAAGTCTACCATAGGGTATGGCCACTACATCCACTTCCAAGGCAAGATTTTTCTGCTGTCAGTTACAGAATGGCCCATCCCTGTATTTCCTAGTCTTCCACAGAAGACAAGAGGACAAAAAAGTCCACCAGTACCCAGTTGCATCTATCAAAATTTAAATTAAACACCACCATGAGCACTTAGGGAACAAAAGCAACAACACCCTCATTTGATTCCTATTCATCCCTAAAAATGTCATTATGAAACAGAAAAGAGTTGTCATGCTTTTATACTCATGAAAAGCGAAGGAAATCCTGTTTCAAACTTACGTGTCATTAAGCCTCCTTGAGCATACTAGGACGTATGCAAATATGCACTGTAAATTAATGAAGTATGCCTTAAGGAATGCATATATCAGTTTATTATATTAAAGAGCTTACTAATGAAAATGCAATGTTAATATTCATCACATTCCGACTGGTTATGTAATTTCTCAAAATTACAACTAGCTCTTACTAAACTTGAGCACGCTTGGAACATTAGAATTCAAGACCTAACTATACAGCTGGACCAAACCTTCCACCCGGCCCAAGACCACATGAAAATGGGTTGACTACTTAATTATTCTTTCTGTTGTGCTAGCAATGGTAGTGTGCTGTGCTAGATGCTATATGACTCTTAAATTGTATTTTTTTCCTTATATTTTACTGTATTGCAATTTGAATTCCATAGAATTCTACAAGAATTCAAACTGCAAGTGTTCTTCATGGACACACCATAGACCACCTGAATGAGGTTTCCGGAGCTCTGGTGGCCTGCAGATCACAGCTTGAGAACCAGTGCCACAGACCATGCAGTTCACATATCAAAATGCTATGTAGAAATCATCAGACACAGTGAATGTTGGAGTGTGCTGATCATGCTGGGATGAGCGTTGCATGACTCCAATTGCAGATCAGCTTGTGCATATTTCTGTTGGTATCACAATGGATGAAGAGGGGAATATACAGATTAGCATGCATGCCAGACAATCTTTGTTCAACAGTGATCATGTATATATGAATTGCTGAGGTAACCTGTTCAAAATGGCTGACACACGTTGCTGTGCCTGGTTAAAAACCACCAGAGCTGCACTCTTGGTTGATCCAGTTTGAGTTTAGTCCTGTGAGAAGTAAGAATGGTGGGAAATAACATTGAAGGCGCAAATACTTCTGGGTTTGTAGTTCTGGAAATACCACAAACATGGCTGCGAAAGTATTTTCTAATACGTTATTCACACAAACACATTTGAAAAAGCAGGGTAAACACAGCAATTGAGCAAAGACATATAGAGATATACACACTGAGCACACGATGGTCATTTGTTAAAGTAAGAAATAACAATTCTGATTTATATGTTTAAAAATTGTTCTGCGTAAACACAATCATGTTTTCACAGAAAGACAAATATGAGCAATGGCTTTGTTTTTAAAAAAATGTAACAGAAGGAAAAGAGAGAGAAACATCGTCATCTGGCATTTATGGGGAAAAAAATCCCATCGATACTAACTTGAACATATGAATTGATACAGGCAGTCAGTATGTCCAAATGAGGTATCCAAACGAGAATGATTACTGTAAGCTACATATTCAAAAGTAGAATACTTTAATGATTACCATGGGCCTGGATAAGTTGAATGGTTTCGTCAGCTGTGCCATTTACCAGGGCAGTGTATAATTGCAGTATAAATAAGATCTGAGTATTCATTACTTCAGAACATTAACGGTAACAGATTCAGAGCTACTTCATGGCAACTAGGATGCTGATACCACACACCCAGTTTTGGCATGTGTTGTGCTCTGCCCTGCACACATCCAGAGTCCTCTAAAATGTCACTCTGGTGAAGAAATGCTCTTTCACAGAAGCTGGTCCATAGCCTGCACTCAGCAATGTGAAGATGCATTGCCAGTGTCACTTCATTAAGTAATGAAACAACACCAGACTATTCCATGTTTATAGAATGGGGAGGTAGGTACACTGCTGCTTTCAATACTCACAGGCTTTTCAGGAAAAAATGAAGATTATATTTTAAAATATGAGCGCATATACATTTTATGGCACAGCTGATAATGTATAAACAGAAGGGCAAAGTGTAAGTATGGAAAATGACCCTTGCCTTACCTCTTTACTTTCCTCGAGCTCGGATATGCTGCTAACTTCCTCCGTATTCAGGTGTTCAAAATCAGACTCTCCCGCAGCTATCGGTACTGTCACCGTGAGGTTTGGGTTGTTGATGAATGACATGTGATCCACGTAGATGGTAGTTGTGGTTCTGTCATTGTAATAGTCAGCTACAGTGTGGTTGGGGACACACCCACTTTTCTTGCCATTTTGCCCATCAGCTGAGCCAATTCCAGTGGAGGCCTTACATTTTTGCAAAAGGGTCATTTGCACAAACTCATATATTTTTCTTTTGACGTAATCTATTCCTCTCTGGATCCTTGCTATGGCAATTTGTAAGTTGTTTGCATCTGTATCCTGATCTGGAGCAGCGAGGCTGTCTGAACTGAAAGAGCTCAATAATAAGGCCAGAAAAAGGTTCAGGACCTGTGGGGGGAAAAGAATTCAATTAGGCTCTTTCCCCCCTTTAAGTTAATTCCTAAAACCTAAAAGTCAGATTTGTTCCCATGTATTCTCAAACTGAATTCATGAATTCATATTTCAATTTCTGAATAACTTTTTTTTTAAAAAAATTCTTTGATTAAGTGCTTACTTCCAGGGTTTGGGGATATGAAATCAGTGGTCATCTATCCTTTCTTAGTTGCTGTCTTATTTTTGACAATGCTTTTGTTTGTTAGCAGAACCAAACAATCCAGTGTGTGTTGTGTCTGCAAGTTTACCAAATGTTAGCAATTTGTGTATCAGAGAAACTAAAGAGAAGGACCTATTTATCTTGTCATCATAATTTTTTTTAACCACTTCCACCAGTGGAACATACTTATTTCTTAAACAGAGTGGGATATTTGCGAAAATACACCCCAATATATTGAAGTTCTCATACAAAGATGACAGAAAAAGCACAAGTAAATTTGGAATGTTAGGACATAACTAGGATACAGCAGCAGTGCCTTTTGGGCCAGATGATTACTGTATTATTATTTATTCAATTTATTCAAATATATTCTATTTCTGTACACTGCTGAAGTGCTCTCTGAATGAAGTGCACATTCTGACATAAAAATAAAAATCAATAATGTAACAATATGCTTTGAATGAAGAATTATATAACAATAAACCAACTGATTTGTTTCAGTATATTTCAGTGGTCTTTAGCACCAGGTTATGCTTTACTCCTTGACTCGCTGGGTTGCTAATTTGCAAATTCAAACATGGATTAAATGAAACAAATTAACATTGCTGTATTGGCCGGGAAAGCACCCAAACTAACAACAGGCTATGTGCCTTCTGCTGCACTCAAGGAACTCTCTTATCTGCAATGTATCTTTAATGCTGAACATTTGTTTGCTGTCTTGTCTGTAATGCAAGGAGGGTATTACGTGTGGATTCCTCTGCCCACACTGCTGGCCACCAGCCATGAGTGCAGGCAAAAGAGCCAAGCACAACAAAATTGCTTCCAGGCATTGAAAATTATACACCATCCCGAGAACCTGGTGACTGGGTGACCAACAAACATAGCAAACAAACAAATAATAACTTAATCCCTTTTGCTGGAATGGGCCATAAGACATCAAACTGCAGCCCAGGTGATGCCTACAATGAAAAGGAAATCTGGTATTTTGGTGGGCAAATAATTAGTGCCTGTCAAAACCTTTGGTGCCTGTCAATGCGGCCAGCTGAGCAGGCTCATCCTTGAAATCCCCTACAGCTATATGATTCTATAGAAATAACACCGTGGGTGCTATTTACAGAAGAAAGGGGGTCAACAGATTTTCTAAACAAGTATTCATACTGGTTTGCCTAAATGGATCATAATAGCAGGTAATCAGACAATCAACAGAAAATACGGTAACTGAAAGGACAGTTGTTGATTACATACCACAAGGTTTCCAATCACCATGACCAGCATGAACACAATGAGGCACAAGGCTTGGCCTGCCACTTCCATACAGTCCCACATGGTTTCTATCCATTCTCCGCAAAGGACTCGGAACACGATCAAGAAAGAGTGGAAAAAGTCGTTCATATGCCAGCGTGGAAGTGAGCAGTCCTCTGAAATCTTGCACTTACAATTATCATAGCTTTTGCCAAACAGCTGCATGCCAACCACAGCAAAAATGAAGACAATAATAGCTAGGACCAAGGTCAGATTTCCCAGAGCACCCACAGAGTTGCCAATAATCTTGATCAGCATGTTCAGAGTTGGCCAAGATTTCGCCAGCTTGAAGACTCGAAGCTGAAAATGACAATGAGGCATTTATTTATATGAGAAAGAGATACAGACGGTGGTTGCAATTCAGAGACTCACATCCCATCACCAGCTATATATTGGACAAAGAGCCATGAACTCAAGTGTTTCCATAGCTCTATTTGGGAAAGCTCCAGCAACAACCATATGACACACTTACTTAGCTTACGGCCTATAGCAGTGCTAAGGAACATGTGGCCCACAAGATGTTGCTGGACTACAATTCCCATAACCCCTCACCACTGGCCATGCTTCCTGGGGCTGATGGGAGCTGGAGGCTGGAGGGCCACATGGGTTCCCCATCCCTGGCCTGTAACTAGAGTTGTCACAGTGTAAGGCAGGCTTTCCCAAGCAGGAATTGCCTGCAGAGGTACAAGTTAATGTCTCACTCCTCCTAGATAGTGTGGCTTCTCTGTTGATGTAGCTGTGGATATAAAGTAAGGATAGCATGGACACTCTTCTCCCTTCTTTAGCAGCAGACCCACATTATTGAGCATAAGAATTCCCAGTGTCCATGCAAGAAGACATCTTGGATGGATAAGCAAAGGTGTGCTGTTAATCGGCAGCATAAATCAAAAGGAAATATGAGATTATGGTGCTCCAAGAAAAGCTTGCACCCTTTCTCTGCTGGTTATGAGGCCTTGGAGAGACGAGTGAAGCTGGCAGTTTTAGGTCTTCACACCCATTTAACACGCTTGCTACTAGCTTCAGCTTGGTTAAAATTAATGATGTGGTTGGGATAAAGGGTGGAAACCTTTCCAAAGTAGGCCCAGCACTCACTGCTTTCCTGTAGATTCTGTGCCCTTCCTCAGATCCAGTCAGAGGGAGGGTTTTTAACTATTTCCCCTCCTCAAGTCTATGATCAAATGAGTAATGAGACTTTGCTTCTTATTTACCAATCTGAATGACCGTAGAACAGATAATCCATCCACATCTGAAAAACCCAGCTCTATCAAACTCAGGCTGACAATGATGCTATCAAAAATGTTCCAGCCTTCTTGGAAATAGTAATAAGGATCCATGGCTATTATCTTGAGGACCATTTCTGCAGTGAAGATTCCAGTGAAGACCTAAGTGCAGAATGAAAAAAGTTAACTTCTGCATTTTATTACCCCGTCTTCCCCATCCCATTTAATTGCCTGTTTTGTATTAAAAAGAAGCAATGCATGGATGTAATCTAATAGTGAAAGTGTTGGGATTGCATCATTGCCCTGTTCAAAGCGGCAGTGTGGTGATTCTGAACTTAGAAGAACCAACTTGCAGCATCCAGAAGACAGGGCTGGAAGTGCTCCTTAGAGGAACCATTCTTGTTTAACTTCAGAACTTCTGACTGTGTGGAGGAGCCTATTCATACTGACTTCCCTTTAGGCTTTTGCCAAACACACAGAGATTGATGGGAGTGGAGCCAGTCCATGTGGAAGATACATTCGTATGAAAGCGGAAGACAGAGAAACAGAGTAGCTATCTGAGGAAGAGTTTACTGCAAGGAAGTTTCCTGGCTAAATGTTTGGTGAGGAAGCTGGGAATTTTCAAAGGGGCTTTAAATCTGGTAGGAATTTGGAGGAGCAGCAAGCAAACCCCAGGTAGATGCTTGGCTGCACAGAGCAAAGTATTCTTGCAGGACAGAAGCCGATGGAAGCAGAACTTTGGGAAGAAGGAGGAAGCAGGACCTTGGGGACATCGGTTCAATCCTAGTTTAAAGGACTTCAGATAGCAGGGCTGGGGGAAACCCCTTTACCTGCTATCACAGAGAGCTAGTGGTGGTTACATAAGACTGCGCTAGATGATGTCCTGATTCAGTAGAAGGCAGATTCATATATTCAACAGGTTTAGGAACACTCAGTGGAGATACAACCATTTTTGAAAGCATTTTCAGTTGTCCAGAATTAGTTTTAATTAGAAAATGATAAGATGGGTTGAAAAGCAAAAAACAACAACCCTCACTTACCAGGTTTCCAGTTGATAGAACATTCTTGAAGGCATCATCTATGGGATGATGTTCCATGGCCATAAACAATGTATTTAGGACAATGCAGATGGTGATGCCAAGATCAACAAACGGATCCATCACAATGAAATGAACAGTTTTCTTTATTTTCAACCAAGTATCGCAGCAATTCCAAATCAAGTAACTGTGGGCAAATTTATACCAACATGGTGGACATTTCTGCCTGGATTCTTCAAGTTCTGAAGAGAGGCATATTGAAAACATGAGGACCAAATATTCACTCAATGCTGTTTGCTAATTATGAAAATGCAACTTGACTAAATTATTCAATATTTGCAAAATTAATTACGTAAGTTCTGTTGGCAACATTACCTCTATGGTGATGCATTGATCATTTGATCCTGCAATTGAACATGCATGTTCACTAAAGCTTTGTTTTATTTTTTAGTTGTCTCTACCTAATAATTATAATTAGTGCTTTTCCAGATTTTACTTCTTTAATAACATCTCTCAGAACTTCTCATATTCTTAAAAGATTCCATTCATTTATGAACCAAACTCTCACAGTGCTTTTACACCCACCCACCCACACCTACCTTCCATGGTATTTGTGATTATGCTTGCTATACTCATTGCTCTTTGCCTTATAGCAGGATCTTCCAGTAAATCCATTGGTATCTGAAAAGAACTTGACCTCCTCTTTCTGCTATCTACTTCAGAAGCAGTGCTCTGCAGTGGAGTAAAGCAGCTAGATTATCAACATAAACTATACAGGGAAGCATACATTGTAAAGGTAACCCCACAAAATATCAAAGCATTCATGCCACATGCAGTTTTGCCTTTATTACGCCAGACTTTTTACAATATCTAGCCCTTCCAAAAAAAAGATGCTTCATATATCTGGTTTTAAAGAAATAATTTAAATAGCAGAATGTATTTTGTACACGCCACAAAGAGCCAGCTGAACTCTTACAGCTTTTCATTCGCTCAGTTCAGGCATCTGGCTTAGTGAGCAGAATCGGACCCACATCTCAGGAACTCTCTCATTTGTTATCATGCAAAGGAGCATATGCATTAGCCTGGTATTTTTTAGATGTGAACTGTCTGATGTCCCTCTGCTCCTCCAAAGTGGTGTCAGGATTGTGAGTATTGCACACATTCCTGACTCACGTACAACTTCTTGAGTATGGTGTTCTCTCTGCCTGTGAGCAGAACCGTACTGCTGGGCCAAACATCTGACCTGGCTGTTTGATTATTTATCAAAAAGCCCTTCAACAAATGGAGCTGTGCCTTTGCTCTTGCGACTACAACTTCCATCAGCTCCATCCCACATGGCCAATGTTAAAGGATGATGGGAGTTGTAGTCTCAACAATATCTAGGAGGCCACAGATTCTCCATCCCTGGAGAAGGTAGAAGAAACTGTACGTTATTCAAAACATGAAGAACTTGAACCAGAGCTCAGAACTCCCCAGGTTTTTATGCTTAGATATCCAAATAGCTTTCACATGGCGGTCAATAAAGAAAAAAGGAGGAAAAAAGGTCACATGAGAACAACAATTATTTCACTCATCAGCATCCAATTTGTGAACAAGTGTTCCTTCAGGTCTTCAATCTGTTCAGGATTGCTTCTCCTTATTAAAACATCTAGCAAAGTTAAATGCCTGATTTCTCTCATTTAGAGCTTGTCGCATTTGTCTAAATAAATTAGCAATAAAAGTCTGACTTAATTGAGCTTTACCACGCCAATCAGAACCAGGGACGAATTAGTGGGATAAAATGTTGTACGTATCTTCAAACACAATGCATAGGTAAGTGAGGAGTCCTCCATCAGTGTCTACGGACTACAAAGAATGGTTCTGAAACAACTAAATGAAGCACTTTTTTTAAACGAAAAAGAGCAATTGCTCCCATTTTTACAGATGGGGATCTGGAGCTAAGACAAAAAGGCTTTCTGGTGAGCAGAAGCAGCTGGTGAGGCAGCAAAGGTGAGGCACTGCTGGTCTCCTGGCTTCCAAGTACAATGTGTTGCTGGCACTCACTGGAGAGAAAAGGGGAGGGGAGCTTAGTGCTGTGTAATGGCATAATGGTGAGAGCCACTGGCTCCAGAGCTTGGCACTCCCCACACCTAACCCCATATGCGCATGCTGTGTCAGGATAGCAGCAGTGCCCCACCTCCCCCACACCAGCTGCTACTACCAGCAAGTCCATTGCGGAGCAAAGTTTTTAAACTGGGGCCTTATCAGGTTTTAAGTCTAGATGATATTTGTTGCTTCAAAATCCACGCAGACATGCCTAATAATTTTCTACTGCTTGGAAAATGCCATTTCCCCTCAACGTTAGGCTTCAAAATGAACACAAAGTGATTGCAGCAATGCCAGGGGCTGATGATCACCCACGAGGTCACTAATGGAGAACTGCATGTCCATCTTCAAATGCTGTCCAGTTTCCCTATGTTCCTTTCCCCCCTTTATGTATCATGTCTGGTCTTTCTCCGGCAGTGGAGCACACACAGAGAGACACATCCATAAACGTGGAGCTTTATATATGATAAATACAGTGGAACCTCAAGTTTTCGAGCGTCTTGGCAGCCGATTGTTTCGGAAGACGAACGCAGAAAGCCTGGAAGTAATTGCTTCCATTTTTGAACGTGCCTCAGAAGTCAAACGGCTTCCGCTATGTGTTTTTCTTTTTTCTCAATGGATTTTGCCAACCACCCATTGCTCCTCGGTTTTCGAATGTTTTGGAAGTTGAACGGTTTCTGGAACGGATTATGTTCGAAAACCGAGGTCCCACTGTAAATAAAAACCAGGGCACTGGCTGTTGCCTCCCTCCCTGTCCTTCCCTGCTAGGCTGACAGGGGAGCTGCTTTAGGGAAGGCCACATAGCCTGCAAGGTGATGGGACGTGCCCCTTTCTCTTTTACTGTTCTCAGGGTAATTGGGGAAGGTAATGGTACAGGTTTTGGTGAGGGAATGCAAAGGAGATCAGGTGAAACAGGAGGAGAATCAGGGAGAAGGATGGAGTGAGAGAAAGAGGATGTGCAGGAACAGGGAGAATGCAAAAGGAAAGTGGCCTCTGCCACTGAACAAGCATTTGCTGTGCACAAAGTAAATGTACATTTGGCCATATTAAACTGCCCGACTCAGGGCTGTGTTTGCAAAAGCACATGCAGGCAGAGGCAGGGCCATTCCTTTCTGTCTCGCATAGTTTTCAAAGCCCGGAGAGTTGCAGCATGAAAGCTTGCTTCCCCACCGCCGCCGCAACCCCAGGATGCAGATGCATTTAGGCAGCTTGGATTCCATTCTGTAGACCCACCATGCCTATGCTACTTAAAACATCCTTACACTGTCATCGGTAGTTGCTTTATCTATTATCACCTCTGGGAGAAGCTGTCCAGTGGGCGAGAGGAGCGCTGGGGGTCCTCCTACCAAGGAAACCACCCCGTTGCAGTCCACGCTGCTGTTCCTCTTCCCATTCACTGGAAACACGGGGAACATGGTCTGGCTAATGTTACTTCCGCACCGCTCGCTGTGCCTGCGTAGGATGAAGTAGGAACCGCTACGGCTCCCGTTATCGTCAAAGGTGCTCTGTTCGCTATCGGCATCCGAGCCCCCTTCAGTGGTCGGGCCTCTGAAGCTGGAAAAGCTTGCTCTGCTGTTCCGTCTTGTGGAAAACAGCATCGACTAAGGAGATACAAACAGAATGGTTAGATGAAACTTAGGAAGCCATAGCTAAATCCTCACTGCTGTTGCTTTAAGAAGAAAACCCAGATTACTCTTCCCAGATCCAGAAGGTTTTTCAGGTTTTGGTGAACTATCAAAATATTAACTTTGTGTGTATTCACTGGGGGTAGCGGTGGGGAAAATAGTGAGCTTGATAGTATTTAGTTAAAAGACAATCTCTAAAAAAGAATATGCATTCCCCAGCTTTGTTCTCACAATGACAACAGCAATATTCATTCCTCTTCAGTTAAGCATTTATGTTATGAAAGCGAACGTATTTTTCAAAATAGGTTCAATACAATAACCAGTGCTAGAAACTCAGATATATAAGCTAGGCGCCAAATGGCTCCTTAAACCAGGGTCACAGTCGCCAAAATGGAATGCCAAGTTGCTATTTGGGGGGCAGACTGGTTCAAAAGTCGTATTTTTCAATATGACTGTTTGGTTCCTGAAATTCATTCTGACTGTGCAGATAAAATATAATGGATGGAATTCTACAGGATGTGTTGCTAGTGTGTGAAAAAAGTCAAGATCCAAGGGTCCCCAGGCATGCACCTCCAGATGGTGGGGACATTGGGCACCACCCCAATGCCTGGGCATCTTCACTTGCTCTCAAAGTGATTGATAGCGAGGTGCAGAATGCGCCTGGCAAATTTTGAACGCTGATACAATTTACTCAGTTGGCACTAGCCTGCCTTTCTGAATATCTACACCACAAACAACTGAACAAGTAATGAAGATGAAAAAAGCAAAAGATAAAAAGTCAAAGGGGGGGGGGAATCACTGAGGGAGAGGTATGTAGGGGAGAAGCAACAAATATGAGAAGGGCTAAGTCTGCTCTTCTGTGTCACACGTCCCTCTTGCTGCCCTCATGTACCAAGTTGCAAGCTCCCCCTGCTTCTTTTTCTTTGCTTAAACATCAAGCAATTAAAAGGTGTCAAGGCCTGGGCTTCACCACTTACTTCTCTACTAAACCCCAAAAAATTATCTAATAGATTCAGATGATACTAAATCGGGTCCTCCCTTAAAGAGGGCACATGTTGTGGTGAGACCTGGCAACCAAACCCTGTGTTGTGGGTGGGTTGATTGAATAGCCACAACACCCAATTGGTAGGTCCCCTTGATGCTGGGTTCAATCAGGCCAATGGGACACAAGCTAAACGGATCAAGGGACCTATATATACCCATGCACGTGACCCAGAGCTTCCTCTTTCGGTGCATGCATCGAAACACCCGCCCACCTCTCTCTGTTTTTAGGGCTGCGCGCTTGACCTTGCTATGCCGTCATGTGTCATCTGTCGTTGGGACAGGGGCACAGCAGGAATTTTCCCCATGGCCGATTGGCTGGTGCCATTTGGGTTTTGCCTGCCGCATAGCAAATCGTCACAACTTGTAAGGTTGCGGATAGGCTCTGGTTCAGGTGATAGGGATGGGAGAACGCTCTCGCCATCCCTATGTGAAGGGTATTCCGTTAAAGGAATCCAGGGACTCAATGGTTTGGTCAACCCCTGTGAGGGGGTTGTGCCTGTGCCTGAGTCCAGGGGGGCATTTGGGTGGCGGAGATAGCCTGTTCCTGGCTTTCTGCTTATCCAGGTGTTCACCCTAGGCTGACCTACGCTGGTGCCTTGGGTCAGTGCTGCCTGCAACAGTGCAGGGAGCTAGTCGAACCAGAGCCTGTGCGACCACTCACTTGCTGTAATCAATAAAGTTGTGGCCTAAATTCTGCCAAAAACCAAACCAAAATTTGTGTCTTGTCTGAATTTATTTAAGGGGGAGGTTTAAAGGTCTGAACACACAATCCCTGAAACCTGTGGAACAGAAGAGATTGGTAGAAGGTCTTGGTGCTTTTGCACTTCTTCCCATGGCTTTGCCTTCTTCCTCCTCCCTTGTACATGCTGCTGGACTCCCAACTCCTGCCAGCATAGCCAATGGTCAGAGATGATGGGAGTTGCGGTCCAACAACAGCTACAGGTTGCCCACTCTTGGCGTGAAACGTCAAGCCTAAAACAGATTGGTCCCATTACCCAGAGCCCGCCTGAAAGTTGAACATTTTGCAACAGCACAGCCAGTGCCACAACGTACCTGGTATGGAGAGGTGACCCTGTTTTCATACGTGAGCCTGTTTCCTTCCAGGGAAAACTGAAACCCCTTCTTTTTGATGCTGCTATCAGACTCAGATTTTGGAAACTTTTTGCCGTTGGCTTTCTCGTCTCCTACAGACAGCTCTCTCTGCCGTCTCTTCTTCCTCCGGTTCCTTCTTTCTTTAGCGCTTTTGGAGCTCAGCCTCGACATTTCTGAAGAAGTCTGGGAAAGTCTTCCAAGTGCGCCATCATCCTTAAAGTCTTTGTAAGCGGCTGCGGCTGCTATTGCCTGTTGTATAAAGAGAGGTCAAGCTTGTCACAGCTCTGCCGATGAAGACTTGCAACTACCACATGGTTATTGTAGAACTATTTCTGGATGCTTCAAGAATACAAGAAGATGGGTGGTTTCCTCTGCCAAAGTATTAACAAAATAGCTTCCAACTAAGGATCTGGAAGGAGGAGCCAGCATGCTTGGGGGTATATATTTATTGTTCATGGAGTATTTTTTTGTATGCACCAATGTAATATATACTCTGAAGATAGTATGCTGGTGGATTGTTTTCTTTTTATACCAGGGTAGACAGCATGTTGCCCTCCAGATGTTGTTGAACTAAAATCCCCATCTCCCTGACCACTGGCCATGCTGGGAGCTGATGGGAGTTAGAGTCCAGCAAAATCCAGCTGCTCCTGCTCTACACAATGCTGCAATCCACTGGCCCTAGTGCACAGAAAGCACAATGTGTAAGGACTGTTCCACTTTTCGTGTCAGAAATAATATTAATAATGTTATTATTTGTACACTGCCCACCTAACTGGGTTGTCCCACTCTGGGAGGCCTCCAACCAATATCAAAGCATCATAAAACATCAAACACTGAAAACTTCCCTGTTCCATAAACCTTACACTTAATAATAATTAAATAAAAAAAGATGCAAAAATAATTTGCATCTTTTCCTGAATCATTATTTGATCGGTGAGAGTTCTCGTTCAGTTTTCTAAAACCCACACTTCTCTCTCACATATATACAGTACGCATACACACACAGACAAACAAACAAACAAACAAACATATACACACATATATATGAATGACAAATGAAGCTGGTTCATTGTTTATTGGCCCAAAAGAGGTTCAAATTTGCTGCTGTCAGAATCACCCTAAAAGAAATTAACACCCTGAGAAATTCACAGAGGTCCGCTGAAGAATATTCACTTGCCAATATTCATTTGCATGTTGAGGTGTAGAAATATATTTTCTGTTGAAAAGCACATCTAATATATGTATCCAAATTATTAACTCTAAGTGTCTGCCTATACGCAATGCAGGAGCAGCTCACCCAGTGGGGCAGCAGGGCAGCAATAACCTCCTGGTGGCATCGTTGCCATTCACTGAGAGGGCAGAGATAGCAACAATTTGGGGGCACATCGGTGGAGCCAATCCAGTGCTCCCACCAGTGCACCCACACTGACTCTCTCTCTTCTAGTAAGTAGCAGGGACAATTCTGTAGGGAGGCTATTACTGCAGGTGTGCCACAGTGAAATTGTCAAGTATTTACGGTGGCACAAGACACACTGTTGTTTCTGAGCTTACACCATTAACTTCCATTTTTCCAAATTGTACACTCTACTAGTTGAGAGTTTACTTAGCATTGCACTGGAATCCCACTGCAAAGTCCCACTGGAAATCTGCACTGGAATCCCACTGCACAGGAATCCCACACAAGTCCCACTGAAAATCAGCAGAGCTTTGTGCAACTGCTGTCTACCTGCTGTTAGGGTTATCCATTCATATATATTTTCGTAAAACATTTTCATCTTCTTCAGTTAAGTTGCATGCATGAACTCATTTGCACATGTTGCCTTTTGCCCAAGTACACGATGGAACTTCTGCAAGGAATCTCTGGGTAGTTACGCCTTCTGTTCTCAAATTTGTGGGGAAATGCTGTACTAGCGCAAAAGTTTCCAGTACCTGGGCTTCTTCTTGTTGCCTTTTCAGTTGTTCCAGCATCTGCTGATATTCGGCCTCCTTCCTCTCTGCTTCTTCCATGGTGGCTTGGTTCTGCTCTTCGTAGGCCATGGCAACAACGGCCAGGATCAGGTTGATCAGGTAGAAAGAGCCCAGGAAAATCACCAGGACAAAAAAGATCATGTATGTTTTGCCAGCAGCACGCAGAGTCTGGGGAAATCATAGGCAATGTAGGTTATTGGATCAGTAAGGACAACTGAAACTTACAAGTATGAGTGACTATGCCACACTCAGATTAGACTCAATAGACTTAAGGTATGAAGGCAGCAAGGCTAACCCTGCTTATCTGGGAGTAAGCCCCACTGAATTCAACAGGGCTGACTTCTGAATAGGCATGGTTAGGATTGTGATGTTACTTAAGTAAGTTACCAAGCACCTCCCCTGAAATCTGCTCTTAAGAGTTGTACAACCCTATGGAATATTGTGGAAGTGGGGAGGAGGAGAAATCAGGGGGAGAATGCCTCTCTTCCTCTTCCGCAGACTGGAACCTACGCTAGATTGCAGCCCTTTCTGCACACAAAAGTAGCTCTTCCATCTCTCTTGGACGGGCTACACCAGAACCAACCCAACTGTTCAGAAACACTTATGTGGCGGGAGTATTTGTAATATGTTTGCAATACAGCACAGATGCTTTGAATAACATTTCAGAATTACATTTCATTTACAACTTCCATTGACAAGTCCAACATTTCCTGTGCAGTCTGTGAGGTTCAGCCCTTTCTCTCGGAAAATAAAACTGGCTTTCAAATGCAGCAATTTGTCATTGCTGTTTTTAGTTGAGTAAGCATTTCATAGAGGCAGGAACATAGAGAGACAGTGGCATAGCGTGGGGCAGGGCAGGGGGGGGACACATGGATGGTTGCCCCAAGCACAAAATTGTTAGGGCCACAAAATTTCAACACCTGATGCTGCCTCAATACAGCTGTGTGCCTCCGTTTCTGGGCTCCGTTGAAAATGACTTCTCCATGCGAACCAGGAAGTGACCTCTCCAGACAATGGAGCGACTCTTCTTTTCTTAGCACTGCAGCTGCAAACTCCTGGGTGATGCAGATGCCTTAGGGGCAGCTGAATGTGCATGCGTACTCTATTTTCCTCCCTCCCACCCCCATCCACGTGGCCCCGGGTGCTGGCAACCCACACTACACCACTGTAGAGAGCAGCCATCTTCTGAGTCAGACCATTGTCCTTTTAAGCTCATTGTCCACACTGACTGGCGGTGGCTCTCCAATGTTTCAGGCAGGGTGTGGGTGTGCATCTTTCTCAGCCCTACATGTAGATGTTGCAGATTGGACCAGGGACCTTCTGCATGCAAAACAGATGGTCTACCACTGTGCTATGGCCCTTCTCATAGGGAGGGAAAGGTGATTTTAAGGATGGGTAGTATTAGGCTTTCCCCTTACATATGGCATCAACAGAATTTGGTTTTGAGACCCTCTCACCAGCTGGTACAGGTTTTCCCAGTAGTCCTGAGTCATCAGCCGAAAGAGCGACAAGAAGGCCCAGCTGAAGGTATCAAAGCTTGTGTAGCCATAGTTGGGGTTTCGACCAGCTTTTACACATATATATCCTTCTGGGCACTGGCTGTGAAAGAAAGCAATGGAGGGGGAGGGGGGAAAGATGACTTGTTTCTGTACCTAAATTGACATTCCACCTACTAACTAGGGATGGAGGAGAATTTCATAAAATCCACTGCTTTCAATTTTCCACCCTCTATTGTGTGTGCAGGGTGGTCCTAACCCTACCTGGTCAACTCCCCTAGCAACACCTCCCCAGCTGGGATTGGCTACTGTCTGAGGTTAGATGGGAACCTCCAGGTATCCAGCTTGGGGAGGCGAGGCCAGGCTGAACTGCTGGGGATCATGTAGTATCAGGTGGCTGTGCCCCCCGCAAAAAGCACCCCCCATTTGAGGTGGGGAGTGGTCACTGTAATAGAGTTCTCAGTAAAAAGAAAAATAAAGCACCAAGATGCATAAAAAATGTGTATTTTAGCATAACGTAATTTAGAAACGTGTAAAATGCATATTTAACTGCATATTTTGTGACAAGGTACATCTTTAAATATGGGTTTTAGTATGGGTTTTCTTTTTTAAAAAGATGTTAACAGATTAATGCAGTAGCAGGCTGGGAGAGACTTGTGAATGAACACATGTGAAACAGATGAACTATCCATATCTGCTGCTACTACTACGTCAAATATATGCATATAGAACGGGCCATGTTAGTCCATTTTAAGTGTCTGAAAGAAAAGGGCAAAAGTATAGTAAAAAACCCCAGCTCAAAACCACAACTGATGCTTGCTGAATAGAGATGCGCTATGGTGTGTGGTATTTCTGATTCTTTTGGATGGGTTGGGAACCTAAGAAGCTGGGAACATAGGAAGTTCTGATACATCTAGCTCAGAACTGTCTACACTGAGTGGCAGCCGCTCTTCAGGGTTTCAGACAGGTCCTGCCCCAGCACCCTGGAGATGCCAGGGATTGAAGCGGAGACCTTCTACCTGCAAGGCAGATGCCCTGTCACCAAGCTGCAGCCCTTCCCCCAGAGGCTGCCACTGTCTAAATAGCAATGTTGCATCACTTAGAACACACCACAGCACATTTCCATTGTCTGAACATCAGTTTGAGACCTTGCCTCTCTTTTTTGTCGATTCCACCTTTGGGGGCTCCTCCTCCTCTCCTCTTTAAAAAAAAGGGGGGAGGGAGGGGGGGGGACAAACCCTGGTTCAGTATGAACTAGGCTCCTGAGAGTATAAACAGTAAAAAATAGCTTATCACAGGACTCATATACATTTCTACAAAGAAATTGTGGGAAATAAACATTTGTGCTAAATTGAGTCCTTGTTAAACCCAAACATTACCAATGGCTTGAGTCACCCTCCCACAATGGGGGTGGGGGACAGATTCCTCCCTCCAGCTGCCATGCTCCATGCTATTTTAATGTATTCCCACCCAATCCCCAAAAGTGGCTGTTTGGGGTGTGGAAGAGAAGGGCTCTGGGGGGAAAGAGACAGCAGAGAAACCCAATTCCATTAACCTCATTCGGCTCACAGCTCTTAGGTTCTGAATTATGCCATTAGATTAGCCAGCTTCACTTGCATGATCAGTGGTGGCTTCCCCTTACGCAATTTTACACTTGCTTACCCAGCATCTGTGCCGTTACCACAAAGCAAGGGATCTGGTGATCCTTCCAAAGTATAGAAATGTTTTGTTTGTTCTAAGAAGGAAGGAAAGGGGGGGAGAAATGTGTTACCTTCAGCTTTCATTCAAACGATTGCTTTAAAATGATAATCCAATGTAAAAGCTTGCGCAAGTCTGCTCACACCTTTTTCGGGTGTGGCGGCATTGTGGGACGGCAGAGGCTCCTCCAAGGCCCCGGCGAGGGGGGTAGCCTCCTCAGAGCCCCATCCAGATAGGGGGCGTGGGCGTATCAGAGGCCGGATCCTAGCCTGCATCTCAGATTGGCAAATGGGGATGCAGGCTAGGACATGAGCTGGGCCATGGGGCAGAGCCGACGGAGGAGGAAGCCTTCCCTCAAGTCTGCCCCCATGGCCATTTAAGCAGTGCTCACCTGGGGTCCTGCCGGCCCCAGGTGTCTGCCTGGTGTCAACAGGCAAGGAGTTCCAAAGTGTGGATGCTGCCACGCTAAGAAGATCGGTTTCTTACAAACGTGAAACAGTGTACTTACTATATGGCACCGATAATGGTGCCAGTTCCAGATCGAAGTGGCTGAATGGGCATAAATGGGGCAAAGCAATCTTGCAAGTAAACTGGCCCCAACCCGTTAAGGGCTTTAAATACTAATTAGTTACAGCTCAAACTCTACCCAGTAGCAAATCGGCATCCTGTGCAGGTCTCTTCAGCAGAGGTGATATATACTCTGGCCGGGTCTCACTCCTCTCAGCAATCATGCTGCAGCACTCTTCACCAACAGCAGCTTCCAGATCAAGCACAAGGGAAGCCCCATGTATATGTCCCCCACACTTGAGATGTCAGTATTCGGAGCTCTGCTACCCAGTAATCAAAAAAGGATTCCTAAGCTAGTAAAAGCAGTTTCTTAGCATTTGTTGCAAGGCAAGGCACTGAACCCAGGCAGTATACATCTTATTTTGGGCCCAAGCACCAAATGAACAAAGCAGTGCTGGCTCTAGGTCTTTTTTGCAGCTGGGGGTGAGGGTGAGGGATATGAGTGAGTTTTGGCAAGATCCATGCAGTGGTGTTACCCAGGGGGAAAGTGCCAGGTCAGGGGAGGCTGCTGATCCTTCTCTTCACTGCTGACACTGTTTGCCAGCTTAAAGGTGCTGCAAATGTTTTGATGGTGTTTTACCAGTTTTAAGGTGGTACACCGCCTTGATATTTTATGAGACGGTGGTATAGAAATACTAGATATGACGGACAGATACAGAGAGCAGATTCACAGAAAAGAAAAGGAGTTTCAACAGCAGGGGTAGAAAGTTCCAGAAGGAAGCAATAAGCCACCTGTTAGGGCTTGAGTCCTCCTGGCAGGTGCCTAACAATGCTACCCAGATGGCCAGCCTAAAGGAGAATTCACAGGCTGCACCTAGTTATCCTGTTTCTAAGTGAGGTTGGTTCTCTGAAATCTCAGCAGTTCCTCCTGCTGAGCTCTTAATTTCTGAATGATGCCTATTATGACTTGCCCAAGAATGCAAGTTGTCTGCATTCACGGCAGTGCCTCGGTTTGTATCCAGGTGTCCGCACTGGACCACAGAGGCCCTTTCAGTAAACCTCACCTGTGTCGCCAATGTATTTATCCCAGTCGATTATTCCTGCATTGTAGTATTGTGCAAAGTACGGTTCTTCAGCTGAATCGTTACTTAGGGGCCAAAGCAAACATTTTTGCCTCAGGTGGCCCATGAACAGTTGCAACCCTATTAGTGCAAATACACTCAGGCAGAACACGGTCAGGATCATGACATCTGAGAGTTTCTTCACTGACTGAATTAGGGCCCCCACAATGGTCTTCAGACCTAAAAGGAGAGAAGAATGTGGAATCACAATATCCAACTCATTGTTTTAGGTGTTGAGTAGTTAAATATGGTTGTACAGCTGCTGAAATTTAAAAATGTCATGCAGGCAGCTCCTAGATGAAAGAAGCTATCATTTTTGTCATGAGGTAAAAAGAGAAAGCCCCTTTACCTCGTGAAAAATGATTCCGAATGTAAAATTGCAAATGGAAATGAAAAGCACACAGTCTATACTAGCCATTTAAAAGCTGGTGACATGGTTATTCATGCTTTGTATCAATCTCATGTAAAGAAAAAAGGTACTGATTGTACATTTTTTCGCTCATGAAGCACACATCCTTTCAACCCATAAGATAGTTTGCTGAGGAAAGGTATTTTTTTAAAGCAATACTTCATGCAATGCTCATGCTATTCTTTATCACCATATTGGCTTAATTTCTACTAGTGATTCAGCTTTCCAAATGCTGAAATTTTCCATCCCAAATTATTTCAATAAACGGCAAGGTTTATCTTAATATGAAAGCTGCAACTACTTTTCATATTGGTGTGGGAGAGAAAATTTAGTATTTTAATATGCAAAATACAAACTCTGTATACTGTCTCATGCAAGAATATGTTAAACTCAAAGGCTGACTTGCTTTTTTTTTTTAAAAAAATGTGAATTGTTTTTTTCGGTAGCATCTAAAAATCTACATTCCTTAAAACAACAACCATACATGGTTAGCAGCAAAGCTTGTGCAAAGTCGCGTGACTTGCAGCTGTGGCAAATCTACAAGTCAGCCTCCGTGTTTAACCTAGCTCTCACCTGGGATGACTGATATTGTTTTCAATGCCCGGAGAACCCTGAATGTTCTCAACGCTGAGACATTCCCCAGGTCCACAAACTCTGTCACATATCTGCAATAGGGGAGTTCACACACAAACACAATGACAGGATAAAAAGGAACAGTTGGGAGGCACGAGGGACCTAACACCTTACACCACTCACTTCTTACCTGGGATTACAGAAATAGTTTTCAAAGCTCTCAACACTCTGAAAGCTCGAAGAGCTGAAACTTTGCCTAGGTCTACAAATTCTGTTATATACCTGTAGAATCAAATCACAGTTGTTCAGCATCGAGGCAGATTTTACGCCACTTACCTAAAGATTTATTTAAGCTACTTTTTTTTTTTTACAATTAAACAAGTTGTCGCCCCCCCCCCCCGCCCTGTGTTTGCCTTCAATGCAATCCTGGGCACATATACCTGAGATGAAGACCCGCTGTATTCAATGGAGCTTAATCCCAGGTAAGCATGCATAGGCTCAAAACCATTGCATTCCTTCTTTTTATATTTTCCTACCTTACCCACAAGACCCTAAAACTAGGGTGGGAAATTCAGCACCAAGTATCATGTTGGGAATACACCACAGTCTTGCTATTTGCCAAAATATGGATCACTTTTAAAAGCTTATCTCTGAAACCAGAAAGGCTTGCCACATACTTATTTTTAAAATAATAATAATAATGAAAGCATTTAAAGGATTATCCTAGGAGCAACATTAGAGTATGCCTACTACTGTCAACTGTTGAATTGTTTCAACAAGAGGAACTATGCCAATTTTAAACATAAATTACTCAAATCTAAAGACAAGATTTGTAATTTGTTTCCCCAAAATGTATTATTTTTTGCACTATTTCATAACAATTCAACTACTGATACAGTCAAACCTCGGTTGTCGAACGTAATCCATTCTGGAAGCCCGTTCAGCTTCCGAAATGTTCAACAACCAAGGCGCAGCTTCTGATTTGCTGCAGGAGCTTCCTGCACTCAAGTGGAAACCGCGTCAGACATTTGGCTTCTGAAAAATGTTTGAAAACCGAAGCACTTACTTCTGGGTTTTCGGTGTTCGGGAACTGAAATGTTCCAAAATGGAGGCGTTTTGGAACCTAGTTTTGACTGTATCTGTTAAAGCTGTGACTCACACAAGTGGAACTCATTTCTGTAAAGTCTACTCAGATGGCACACTAGGAAAATGCTGGATACTTACGCAAATGAAATGACAAGGAAATCCAGCCAGTTCCAGGGGTCTCGGAGGAAAGTAAAACTACCTATACAGAAACCTCTTGCAAAAATTTTAACGAGGGATTCAAATGTATAAATTCCAGTGAATGTGTATCTACAGGGGAGAGAGAGAAAAAAAAAGCAAACTTTTCAATCTATAGGCTAGATCACAAATTATAATTACTTGTTCATTTATTTTTTAAGAATTATATTTTTTCTTCTTCACAGTTATTAGAGAGACGCTCGTAGCAGCCCATTACATGAATCTGATGCTCTTCATTGGCCATATCTGCTTTTCTTTCTCACACACCCATTTTCTTTCTATATCTGTGTTGTCATTAAAATGAAGATATTACTCATAAAATATATCAAAAATTTTTAATGGGAAACTTTCATTACTGCAGAAGTGCAGACAGTCCCAGTCTTGCGGGGGGGGGGGGAGCAGGATATAATGAGGAGGAGGAGGAAGAGGAGGATGCAGTTCTTAAGGCGTCATTAAGTCCTCATTAAGCATTGGTGGCCAGAGAGGTAGAGGTCAGAAATTAAGGTACAATGCTGGGGAAGTTTATAAATGTGATCAGAGGTTCAGGAGTTCAGATTCAATGTGCCCAAGTATTCAATAAAGGGAAAATTATTACTTCCCTTTAGGTGAGTGCAGGGAAAAGAGCCTGATACATAATGAGGAAGTCTGAAAGAAGGACAAATGGTGATACAAGAGACCGAAATCCTTCATGCTTCAATATATTGTTACCAAATTCTGCAAGTGCATTTTTGCTTCACCAACACCCCCTCATCTCTACTGTTCTCCGTGGGGTTCTATAGGACTTGGTTCTCAGTACACTAATAGAATCAAAGGACTGTGGAGCTGGAAAGGACCCTGCGGGCAATCTAGTCCAACCCCCTGCAATGCAGGAATATCAACTAAAGCATCCATCCATCTCCTTTCCTCTTCACTCTTTTCCCGTGACCTCATTAATTCTCACAGACTGTTTCAGCTGCTCTGCTGATGAGTCTTACATCTACTTTTCAATCTAATGGACTCCAGAATTAATTTCAGGAATGTACAGTGGTACCTCGGGTTAAGAACTTGATTCGTTCCGGAGGTCTGTTCTTAACCTGAAACTGTTCTTAACTAGAGGCATGCTATCGCTAATGGGGCCTCCAGCTGCCGCTGCACCACTGGCACACAATTTCTGTTCTCATCCTGGGGCAAAGTTCTTAACCCGAGGTACTACTTCCGTGTTAGCGGAGTCTGTAACCAGAAGTGTTGTAAACTGAGGTGTTTGTAACCCGAGGTACCACTGTATACCTTTTAAAACAATGCCATGGGTTGAACCTAATTCAGTTATGGCGCAAGTGGAATGACTTCCCCTCGTGTAACAGAACATTCTTTCCTCTCTTGTGTGTTCCGCAGAACCCTAAAAATCTGCTATTGCTCCCGTCCCCCCAGGTCTCTGAAGGGGATACTGGGTGGTGGTGGTGGGAGCACACATGTGATGAGAGGGAGGGAAAGTTCTGTTGCACGGGTGGAAGTCATTTGGCTCAAGAAGTTCCTTCACCAGATTCAACCCCATAGTGCTATGCAGAGCATATTCAACCAAATGTCACTGGGAAGAAAACAAAGAATGCACTTACTCTACAGCCTTTGACCACTCAGGAGGATCTTTCAAGGTCATAAACACGCAGTTTGTCAGAATAGTGAACATGATGAAGATGCCGAATAATGTTGGCTTAAGTCAAGGAACACATGACAAATGCTAGATAAGTTAGATCACACAAATGCATATAATTTCTTATGAAACAGGCTTCTAAGTGAATATGAATTCATAAATTCCATCCAAGCAATATCTATAAATCCAAGATGAAAACGTTTAACATCATAATATAGCATGAATTATGTGCTGCTAGTTTATTTAGGGTGTTGTATTGTAATTGTGGCATCCCACTGGTGCAATGAACTTCCCATTCCTCTCCTATCACCTATAGACCTGTGCACCTCCAAAACCTGTTCCAGGGGATTGGGACACACTCCAGAGCAGATTGGGAGGCTGCAAAGGGAGAGCAGAGGAAGGGTAAGTCCCATTGTGTCTGCTGGCATGATGTTGGATCTTGACCACAGAATTCTACTTCTACTGAAGTTCAACCAAGTGATTTCATCAAAACATTTTGTGTTCACTTCAATGGTGAAATTAAGAAAAAATAAAACCACATCCAACTATTAAAATAGCCTCATGCTACTACTGAGTTTCTCAAAGAAGTGCTTTAAACAAGTATTATGTAGAAGAAGAAAAGGATATGAATGAACCAAAATCTTTATAGAAATTCTTCTAAGTATACTGAAAGGACTTAACATGTACAAGGCAGGTGTGGCGTTGAATCTGTAAATGGCCTTCCCTTTATTCAATACTATAAATGTCTGAAAAGAGGAAAAATACACACATGTAAAAGCAGGATTATAATAACGTTCGAGGAGATCTTAGAATGAAAAAAAAAAGACAATTTCATTTGCTGTGGTTTACTCTCAGGCCCAGTTCCAACATTTACAGGTAACCATGGTTTCTAATTATGAGTTGGTACCAAAATGAACAGTGGGCTTGTCCACTATCCCCTCCCCTTCTATTTTATGAATGAAGGGATTGTGTGTGTGTGTGTGTGTGTGTGTCATGTCTCTTCATCTTGGAGGATGGGCAGGCCAGTCTTGATCCACCAGAGCTTCCAGTTTGGCTCACAGGGCTATTTTGTGAAGCCATGGCTATCTGTCAAACAGGTGATGTCAACCTGATCGGCAGGATATGTCAGTTGATGGGTGGGACTTGATGGGCAAAGCGAATCCCTGAAGGATTGAACTCCCCCAACCCTTCACCCCAGTACTTCCACTCATGTTTTCACACAGCCTCAACTTTCCTGCCTCTGATATGTAAAGGAGGAGAGAAAGCGTCAGCAGAAATCAGATTTTTTTTTAAAGCAGGAAATCCATGTTTTCGTATTGCAACTAAGCGGGGCCTCACTGTATGAAGAGTTCAGTTGTCGGTTCCCGGAATGTTGTGCACTGGTTATCACAGAAATGCCAGAAACTTCAGCTAGTGCGGAACTCAGTGGCCAGGTTGCTCACCGGGGCAAGACAGCTTGAGTATATTACACAGATCCTGGTCTGACTGCACCGGCTACCAATTAGTCTCTGAGCTAATTCAAAGTGCTGGTTTTGACCTATAAAGCCTCAAATGGCTCAGGACCGCAATACCTCAAGGACCGCCTCTCTCCACATGAACCTACCCAGACCCTGAGATCATCTTCTGAGGCCCTTCTTCATGTGCCTCCTCCCCGTGGGGTCCACAGGATGGCAACATGAGAACCGGCCTTTTCCACAGTGGCTCCCCATTTATGGAATGCTCTCCCCAGGGAGGTTTACCTGCCGCCTTCATTATACACCTTTGGGTGCCAGGCAACAACTTTCCTCTTTAACCAGGCCTTTGGCTGATTGACATCCAACACCCTTTTAAAATGTGTTGGGGAGGAGAGGTTTATTGGGTTGCTTTTGCTTTTATTATGTATTTTGTACTTTTATATTGTGAGTTTATGTTGCAACTGCCCTGAGACTTGTGGCCCGTGCTTTTTTCCTAAAAAAATATTTAGGGGTACTCTCATTTTCCTACTCATATTGAAATACTGCCCCTCAATGAGGCCAAACCTAGATTCACAAAATGTTTAGGGGTATGCATCCCCCTGCGTACCCCCAGAAAAAAGCACTTCTTGTGGGTATATGACAGTAGTAGTAGTAGTAGTAGTAATAATAATAATAATAATAATAATAATAAATTTTATTTATACCCTGCCCTCCCTGGCCAGAGCCGGGCTCAGGGTGGCTAACACCAGTAAAATTACAATAGAAACATAATGGGGGGGGACCCAATTTAAAATCCAGGTTGAAATGCAATTTAAAATGCAGCCTCATTTTAAAAGTAGCCCATAGATCAAAACTATACGGGGAGGGAAACATAAGGGTCACACTGAGTCCAAACCAAAGGCCAGGAGGAACAGCTCTGTCTTGCAGGCCCTGTGGAAAGATGTCAAGTCCTACAGGGCCCTAGTCTCTTGTGACAGAGCGTTCCACCAAGTCAGGGCCAGTACTAAAAAGGCCCTGGCCCTAGTTGAAACCAATCTAACCACCTTGCGACTTGGGACCTCCATGGTGTTGTCATCTGTGGACCTTAAGGTCCTCCACGGGGCATACCAGGAGAGGCAGTCTCGTAGGTACATGGGTCCTAGGCCCCTAGTATACAAATTTTAACAACAACAGACATTTGGCGATAATGCACTATGATCAAATATACCTTTACTTGTGTACATTGTATAGCTCCGGGACCCGAGAAACCATGTTGAAGGCTTTGGTCTTCATGAACACTTACTTTTTTATCTGCATAGTAAGGATCCAGGTCTTCCAAGGGCTCCGACACCATTCCTGGGGGTACATCCCCATAAATAAAAGGCAAAGTCTTCCCTGCCTCCAAGTCATTGTTTGGCTTTGGCTTGTTTTCCTCACTGTCCTCATCCTTTTGCTCCTGATCAGTTTTCTGTTTTGCTTCTTCGTCAGCAATCCTTTGCTCAATTGCCGCAAGGGACTCCTGCGTGAATCGGAAGAAGCAGTCGGGTCCTGGCGGTGCGAGGTGTGCCTGTGCCATCTTTTCATTCTGCAAATGTTAATTACCTTTTAATTCTTAGGAAAGAATAACCTACAAGACAGAGACACACAAAAATAAAGTTAAAGGGAGGGGGGAGGCATCAGCAATGCGAAAATAAACCCTAAATCACAAAAACTGAGCTACTTGCAACAACGCCATTGAGATCCCACCCCCGCCAAATGAGACGAGACTTTTAAAAGCCATTGAGAGTCAATGAGGCATGGATGCTCAACTTCTAATTAACTCTTTCAGAAATCCCAAGCTAACATTTTCTTTTACTGAAATGATCCTTAGCAGGTACTTGCAGGATTGAGCTCAACCAAGGACTTAAAACATTTGAACTATATGGGCTGGTGCCATTTCTATCAGTGCGTTAGGAGAGCTGAAAATAATGCCAATATATTTCACATCTGGCAACCCCATGAACCCCTTTGGTTTCAGATAGTACAAGGGCAGAGTCTAAAAAGCCAAACTAAGCCTCCAGAATAGAGTATACACTTCCTGAGTTAATGTAATACATCACATCTGGTAAATGAGCCATCATAGCCACTAGAGGGCTGTGAAAATTTGTGTTCCAGGGTTTTTTAGACTCGTCTACCCAAGTCTACGCAAGTGGCACTGTGGTCTAAACCACAGAGCCTAGGGCTTGCCGATCAGAAGGTCGCGGTTTGAATCCCCGCAACGGGGTGACCTCCCATTGCTCGGTCCCTGCTCCTGCCAACCTAGCAGTTCGAAAACACATCAAAGTGCAAGTAGATAAATAGGTACCGCTCCAGCGGGAAGGTAAACGTCGTTTCCGTGCACTGCTCTGGTTCGCCAGAAGCGGCTTAGTCATGCTGGCCACATGATCCGGAGCTGACCCATGTCAGCTCCCTTGGCCAGTAAAGTGAGATGAGCGCCGCAACCCCAGAGCCGTTCGCGACTGGATCTAATGGTCAGAGGTCTCTTTACCTTTCCCCAGGTATTATCTGAAACCAAAGGGTGAGGTCTTTATAGTGAGATACAGGTCAGAGTAGCCTCCCCCAACCTGATACCTACCAGAGGTTTCGGACTACCACTCCCATCAGCACTTTGAAGATGGCCACTTGAAAAAGGGATCATGGGAGTTGCAGTCCACGCCATGTGCAGTAGGATGCTGGGTTAGAAAAGGATCTCAAAAGAGGAGATAGACAGGGACTGGAAGGTGCTTAAAGGATACTTGCAAAACCATATTGAAAAATCAGCACTCCTATTAGAATAAACAAGTTCCGTTTTAAATACTGAAATGCTAAATAAGATGGATAACAATGTGTAATAGAAACAGGAGCATGAAATTAGGTTAAAGGTGTGTGAAAGAAAGTAGTAGAAGTGGAAAGAAATTGCAATTGGAAGTCTAACACAAAGGTGGGGTGAGGGGTGGTGGATGGTGATGGGAAAAGGAATTATCTGTAGGATTGAGTGTAGGTATGTTTGAACATTTTTAAGGATTGTATGAAATGTATGTTTGTATGCTTGTATATTCGCAATATGTGTGTGTTAATGCTGAACTATTTTAATAATAAAAATAATAAAAACTTCAAAGACATTTCTTAAGCGGAGTTTTATTTCTAAACAACGCAGGGAAGTGACCACAGGGAGAAAAAGCAACCAGCTTTTCAAAATAGAGGGGCAGCAGCATACGATATATCAGGATTTGTCATACGAAGCAAGACGTGGGAATCCAGTTTGTGAGCAGAAGCAATTTTGTTGGGTCATGGAGCAGCAGTGGGCAATGGGGGTGCTGAGAAGGCTGAACTTGCACACCTGAAACTGCCATCAGTCTGAAAAGTGATTTCCTGGGTGGCACTGGGGAGTGGGAAACTGTTGTTTAATGTTTGTAGGCGAAGCAGACAAAGCCCCCCTGGGTGGTGGGGGGGGGGGAGCGCCAGCTTCACAATTCTTTCAATCCAGACCATATATTTCAAAACCATCTCTTTAAAAACTTTGCGACATTTGAATTCTATTTTTAAAATAGCCACGAGACAGGCCCAGTAGATTTATATTCTATAATTGAAAGAGGCAAAGACATAAAATTGAACCAGCAATTCAGTTGGGGGCTTGGAGTGAGCTATTTCAGTAAGTAGAGCAAAAGCAGGACTTAGGTTCATTTCTTAAATAAGATGATACACACACACTGCACAACACACTTTTTAGAAAGGCTAATAAATACTATTATATATTGCACATTTTGTGTTGATGTTCATTTGTCTTAAGCAGACCCTCTGCAGCAACTGAGATGAAAATTGAGCATATGAAAAATAGCTGTTTTGCTTCTGACAGCACCCTCCTGTCACTTTGCTTGTTAGGAAATAACCATGTTTACGATATTTCCCAATGAGCAGAAAGACTATACAGTACTGTCAAAAAGGCATTATTTTCTCTGAATGTATTCCCTGATACTGGACTTAGAATGAAAGGCATGCATTTTAAAACTATATTAAACCATCTATAAAATTAACTGTTCGCTATTTTGTTAATATGCATGTGTCCACAAAATACTCCACAGCTTTATAACTGAAATAAAAAAAATGCATTTGGCATTAAGACAGAGAGGAAAAAAGACAAGCAAGCAAAGAGGAAGCAAATCAGTGGGAACTAGAACGTTCTGGTGCACTTTCAAATTAGGGCTGCCATATGTCTGGATTTCAAAGGTGAAATTGACATGGGGGGAGGGGGTAGTTCCCAAAATTCAGTGCTTTGTCCTGGGTCTTAGAGGCAAGTCAATTGAAAAATAGTGTTTTGTCTAAAACTCTTTAAAAAAGCAAAAAAAAAAAAAAAAGCTATACAGTGGTACCTCGGGTTAAGAACTTAATTCGTTCTGGAGGTCCGTTCTTAACCTGAAACTGTTCTTAACCCGAGGTACCACTTTAGCTAATGGGGCCTCCTGCTGCCGCCTCGCCACCGGAGCACGATTTCTGTTCTCATCCTGAAGCAAAGTTCTTAACCCAAGGTACTATTTCTGGGTTAGCGGAGTCTATAACCTGAAGCAGCTGTAACCTGAAGCATCTGTAACCCGAGGTACCACTGTACTTTTGGTGTGTCCTGGTTTTTACTTTTTGGAATGTGGCAACCCTACACAGCTGTCACTTTAACAAACACTCTAAATGCTACTAATGAACTTAGGCTACTCCTGGTGCAGACAAAGAAACTAAATGTGGTGCCCTCCATGGCAAATGGTCAGGAATGAAGGGCCTTATAACCCAACAACATCCAAAGGGCACCATATTGGCTGCAACTGATCTGCACTTTGCCTACCCACAAACCTTCTCCTATTATCTCCCTGCGCACTTCTTCTGGAAGGCATCTTACTAATTACAATTTGGGACCAAATCAGATGAGAAGCAACTAGCAGTTGTCTGAATAGCATTTCAAAAGTTAGTAGAAGGTGAGGGATGGGAGGGAGGGATCAGGACCCCGGTATAGGAGAAAGGGGGACTTTGTGCTTTGCTTCCTATTGAAGCCCCAGTTCAGATTAAGGTCTCATGTGATTGGAATAAAATATATGATCTGTGACCATGGAAGCTTTCCTTTTCATACAAATAGGGTGGATGCATTCTGCAGCAGATGCATTCTGCAGCAGAAAGGCAGGTACTGTTATCTTTCATTTAGCTGGAGTTTATTCTTTCCAGGGTCTATATCAGGAACTTCTGTTTAGGAAAAAAGGTTCTATTTTTATTTTTTTTTATAAATAATTTTTATTAACCAACCAATCAAATCAAATCAAATCAAATCACATCACATAAATTCCAAATTACAAAGCCGAATTTTTAAATTTTTGTTGGGGGTACCCATATTTCAAGTTCCGAAGGGGGTCCAATCATCTTCTTGCTGCTGCATTAATGTCCACAAATCTGTCCAAATAATGTTCATAATTCTATCCAATCCTATCTTGCTGTTTCCCACATCTCATCTTGTTATTTTCGTATATTTTTCCTTTCTCTAGGAAAAAAAGGTTCTAAACCACTTATTGATCATCAAATGTAATCATCCCTCTCCCTCTCTCTCTTTTACACATGCATACACAACTAAAAAAGTGCAAGTACACAGCATTACAAGGGTGCCATGCTTTTACCTACACGTAGCTACATTCTGCATTTCAAAAGAGCACACTTAAAAGCCACCTTCATTTCGCTGCTTCCTGTCAGAATGTGCAACCACAGGAAACATCCTGGACAAATGCTTCCTTGCAATGCAATATGCAATTATGGTTTCTAGTTCCTCCCGTCTCATCCTGCTTCTTGGCAAACTTAATTTTGACCTACAGTCTTTCTCTCGTCGTCTTCTTCCAGGAAACATTTCTTGAAATCAGTCGTTACCCTCCAATGCAAGGTTGGATTCAACCCCTCGAGAGACTTTCTGCAGCCTCCCCAAGGTCTCTCTAATTTGGCAATTTTTATTTTTTTTCAACAATGTTTAAAACATAGCTTTGCTGAGGTGTCTCTACTGTGATCCTGTGGCATTCCAGCTATGGTGCTGTAGCGGGTTCCACCAGCCCTTTAAAACCAGCCCTTTAAATCAGACGGCGGTGGCACGGCGGCAGTGGGAGGCCCCATTAGCTAAAGTGGTGCTCCAGGTTAAGAACAGTTTCAGGTTAAGAACGGACATCCGGAACGAATGAAGTACATAACCAGAGGTACCACTGTACTCAGGAAACATTTTCCCTACCCACTCCAGTGCTGGGGAGGAAAAAAACTTTTTAAATTCCATATTGTAGCTCTGAGGTAGCAGGAGAGCTTTCCTTCCCAGCACTGTAATGGGGAGCAAAAACACAGGGAATCTCCCTCCTCTAATGGCCTGCTTGAGAGAGCATGTCTCTCTCTTCCTGTTTGTCCATATGTACCTTCCCCTACTGAGTATGTATCTGTCTGCATCTCTCTCTCTCTCTCTCTCTCTCTCTCTCTCTCTCTCTCTCTCTCCCCCCTTTATATCATTATATGCTGCCCCATTCCAAAGGGGTTCCAACTGGGGTTTGGTTTCCTTGG